GGCCCTCGACAGCATCCATCCCAGTATTTAGCATTCAGCAGCATCCAACCTCCAGAGTCCCCAGCATCCCGCTTCAGCCTTTTCATTCTTCTTCACGGCATTCTTATTATTATTATTTTTTTTACATAGTGCATTGCAACAGCAACAACCGCATAAGCTCAAGCACAGCGCATACAAATAATTTACGCCATGCTAAGGCGAAAAGCTAAAAATGAGTAAACCCTGCAAATACTCACACACACACAGTCTTGTACTGACAATGAGTAGAGGTCACAGGCGAGACCACAAGTTTAGGACTGTCATATTAAGAATGTAATTTAATTTATATATTTTAAATTTCCCATTCGGAATTCTTATTATACGGTCATAAATAGTGATATTTATTAGCTAGTTAATGACTAGACAAACTTATTCATGATAAAGTAGACCAGTTGTATAATTACATTAGTAGAACGAACTATTGGACGGTTTGTTTTACATTCTTTTTATTGCTGCATACTTTTCAGGGTTAAAATCGTTTATTATTTGTTTGCCATTAGAATATTGGTTCGTTTTATTACCAACATAATGAAGTTCTAAATGGTACAGTTAAAATGAAATTATAAAATAATTCCAATTATGAATATTAGAGTTTAAATACATTTCTTAATTTAAAAGTAATAATAATTATGCTAGCTCATCTGTCTTATATAAATGAACTTTGACTATTTTTGTGGCCTCTAGTGTTCCAGCACTGTTACACGCTCCAATCTAAAATCATCCTCCGCCGTTTTTGCTCTTGTTGTATTTTTTTTTTTTTTTCCTGCAGCGCATTGCATTGATGCGTGCCCGTGTGTGGGTACGCAAGCCCATGTGTGTGCCTGAGTGAGTGCTAAAGAGTGTGAGAGGAAGGGAAAAGGCAGGCGAAGAGTGCACGAGTTGTTTGCATTTACTACGCAAATGAGCGGCATTCGGCGTTTCTCGTTCTCAGATTTTCCTACGGAGAGGCCGAGAGAGTGGGCAATGGGTGGCTGCGGGACAAGAGGAGCATATCCCTGCGCACAACTCACTCTCACTTGATGCTGCTGCTGCTGCAGCATTATTTTGTTGCTGCCAGCTTTGAATGACTAAGAGCGCTTGCTGTTCTTATTTTCTTCTCCACATTTTTTTTGTGTTGATTTGGAGAATGGGCGAAGGACTGTTGACGAGTTGGCAACAGCATAAAAATTCACAGAAAATCACAGCAAACAAATTCACAACGCTAACTGCACTCCCCCGTCCCCACCCTCACTCTCTCGCTCTTTTACTCGAGTGGGGTTACTGACATTGCAGCAGCCGGGTACCGACGTTGGCAGAGCAGCCGCTGCGTGTGTACCGTTGCTAAGTGCAATGAGTGAGCGAGAGATGGAGCGGGAGCGAGGGAGCCCCAATATCACATGGAGTGAGTAAAGGAAAGAGTGAGTGCGACATTAACTTTCTGCATGGCTTTTTCGTTTTTCTCTCTCTTCCTCTCCGGTTTGTTCTACACTTTTCGTTTCGTTTTCGATTTGGCGCCAAAACAAATGACCGTTAGGGTTCAAGGAACTCTCTTCTAATTACGATGCACTCTTCATACACATATATGTATGCATATCCATAACAAATGCACTATACTACAGCTCACCGGCTGTCCCGCTCGCACGCAGTTTTTGCATTCAATTTAGCACGACTGCATTGAGATCGATCGCGTTAGTGTGCGTATGTGTACACATGCAAAAAAAAGGAGTACATAAGGTGAAGGGTTATTAAAACAAAGTGAAAAACAGAAGTGTGTTGCTTTAAAAAGCTATTATTATTATCTCTTTTTCTGTGATTTCATTTATGGAAATAAAATAAAACGGAATATTATTTATTCTTTGACTGATACCATAAATACAAAAGAGATTAGATGGAGTTAGGATTATACTCTCCACTCTTTACGGATTATCTGTCCCTTATTAACTTATTTTTCGGTGTATCATAAAACTGAATATGCCAATTAACAACAGCAGTCTACGATAACTAACAACAACAACAATGCCAGGCTACAAAAGCAACAACAATAGCAACAGAGTGCAATGAGAACACAAGAAATTGACATGCATGCCAAATGCAGTTGCTGAACCACATCATAAAAAGCAGCAACAATAGCAATAATAAAGACAATGCAGATGAAAATGATGGCAATTGAAACAGACACACACACACACACACACACACACGAACACACCAACAAGCGCACACAAGTGCCTAACCAAAAATTGTTGAAATTTTGGCAATGGAGTCTAAAATAAACAAAATAACTGTACTAATGCTTACATTGCACTACTATAAGATTTAAATAATTATTATTATTTTATCTCAACTTCCATGCCCATGTTTACTCATTTGACAAAAGTTAATCATCAATGAAGGATAAGAAGGTTTATTTTCCAAGTTTTAATCTGATTTAAATTTAAATGTGCAACATTGCGAAGGAATATTGCACACGTATCTCCAAAGTTGATTAAATTTAGAATTATTAGAATTATTTTTGTAATTAAGTTAATATCTTTCATTTTTACGACAGTTCCATCTAATTTTACTGGCTTTTATAGAGCCCCGACAACTGTCAGAAGCTGTGAATAGCAAACACAAGTCGGCTTCCCGGCAATCCCAGATAAAGCTGGAACCGTTTGGATATGGGTAGATTTACTTAGGCACGCATCGGTGGCAACTTGCTCACAGCACCTTGCCCCGCATGTGCTTTTTCCCTCTAGAACGCACGCTGCTCATGCTGCAACGCATGAACAAATATAAAAGATATGCAGTTATTTACATAAAAGCTTTATAAATATGTGCATAAGCTTGCCACTGTTGCCACTGTGCTCTGTGTGTGTGTGCTGCGGGGGTGTAAATGGTGTGTGGTAGTTGCTACACGAGCATGTGTCCAACTAATCGCAAAGCCTGATCCAGAGATTCCGCTTCATCTTCAGCTTACTGCCATTCTGTCGACGCACTTTCTTCATTCCGGAAAAAGCCGTCAGTTACACTGAGAATAATTTTAATTACTACTTTACAATTTTTATATTTATTTTAAAACAAGATAATCGAGTGTTTTTGTCCAAGATAAAACATAATTAACCACAATCATATTCTCATGTCAGTAATTCTTGCTTATTGGATAACCAATGAATAGGTATCGATAAATATATGTTAAATTTCTATCAATATTTTTAAAGATATTATCGGTATTTAAAAATATTTTCCTACAGAATATAAAAAAAAGCAAGAAATTGCTGTATTTTATATTATAACCCCTTGTTCATGATTAAATTCTTAAGATCTGAAAAATGTTTTTATAATTTCAAGCCGATATCATTACATTTTTTTAGATTACATATTTTGTACTGTGCATTCCGTAGCATTTTCCACGCTCGCCCCGAACAACTAACTAACTGTACCAGACGCCGTGTCTGCCACCTTTCAGCGTCGGCCCCCCTACCGCCTCTTGCCCCACCCACGCCGCTTTTCAGCGCCGCCCTTGTGGACTTTTCCTAACAATTGCGAGTTGCTGCTAGCATGCGGCAGCCTAGCAACCGAATCTGAAAACCCGACTGCAAAGTCCCGGCGGCCACAGTAATGAAAAGCAAAGTTGTAAAAAAAAAGAACCGAGCTAAAAGAAAATAGAAAAAAATTGTTAGCGGGAAAGGGGTGGAAGATAAAGCAATCATTGCACTTGTCCCGCACAGCGGCAGCAGTAGCAGTATGGCCAAGGCTGTAGCTTTTTTTTTATTCGTTCCTTCGTGTGGGTGTATGTTTCTGTGTGCCTGTGTGGGTGTTGCTCGCCCACAAAGGGCGTGGCATTCATTTCCCGCAATTACGCCTACACACAGGGAAAACGGAATAGGGATATAGAGATGTACACAGATGCAGTTGCAGAAGCAGATGATGGAAAGATGTTTGTCCCTTGTGTGATAAGCCGTACCAAGCGATGTGGCAACTCTGGCTACCAACAACCACTGTCACCCTTGACGTATACGTAACATGCCCAGAAGTATGCAACACCTTTTGTATGCAATTCTGATGAAATGAAATGGAAAGAGGATGATTTGGATAGATTTGATTGGGTTTGGAAAAATGTTTGAACTTTTTTTATACCTTTTAGATCTTAATTTAAGTATACTTAACTTATTTTGGAAATTCTTAATATAAAGTATTTGAAAAATCATTATTAAATATGTTGTAATCGAAGCAACATCGTCTACATGGAAATGAATATGTAATAATATAATTAAAGGTCTACTTGCTTTTGATTTCTAATTAAGATAAATGCATTTTCCATAGAAATTAGTGCAGAATGGTTAGCCAATTAGTGAGTAATAAGCTAACAAAGTGAACAAAATTCTATGTTGCTCCAATGGCTCAATGAAATGCCGTAATGAGCTTAATACGTTTCTTTAAAAATCCTCGTTGCCATGTGAATGGTTGAGCTTAGTCCCAACGTGACACTACTTAAACGTACGTTTCCTTGGTCCAACACGTTCATCCTTTATATTTCAGTGTGGTTGCCATGTGATTTAGACTTTTTGTTAAACTGTACGTCCGCCTGTCTGGGCTTGGCCCTGCCATAAAATGTATTTCGAGTGTCACTTGTATTGCATTTGAACTTTATTTTTTTACCCTATCCCGGCTTTAAGCCAACCCAGACCACTGGACGTCTGTGCAAATTAAAATGTTTCCGTTGTCGTCATCTGGCCAACACATTCTCCCGAACCGAGCCTCCACTCTCTCCTGCTATCCTTGCAGTTGCCACAACGCAGACGGCGTTATAGTTGGGTGAGATTGAATTTTATTGCCGGCTAACGGCTGCCGCCGGCGCCTGCGGATCGGGGTAGGATGTCAGGGTTGTCAGGATGCGGATTACACTAATTATGAAATGACATCGACAACGGCGTCGTTGATTTTAATGGTTTTCTTTTGTCAACTTAATTAACGAATGTTTTCGCTACTCTCGGTTGCAGGAAGGATGCTGCTGATGTCACCGCCGTTGAGGCGCTGAAGGATACCCAGTTCCAGTCCCAATCCCAGCCCCAATCCTATCCAGGACAAGCCACACACATGTTGCTGCCACAACAAAGATGCTCAGTGCTGCGAATGCGACTGCAACACCGACCCATGCAGCAGCAGCAGCCGCGATTGCCGCAGCCGAGACTTATGTCATAACAAACAAACATCAGCAACACCCGCAACAACAGCAGCAGCAACAACAACAACAACAAGTCTTAGTTGTTGCCGCCAACAAAATGGTGATACCAGCAACGGGAGCAACAATCGCCGGTATACCAACAGCAACAACCACAGCAGCCGCCGAAACAACAGCTTCACAGCAGCAGCAGCAACAACAACAGCATCAGCAACAGCAGCAGCAGCATGTCTTGTTCCAGCCGCACCTACAAACAACAGCAACAGCAGCAACCAGCACACCTCAGCAACAGCAACCACCTCAGCCGCGTCAGCATCCCAAGAAGCGAAAATTCGATCCAGCCGAGCTGGACAAACCAGAGCAGCATCCCCAACAGCAGCAGCATCAGCAGCAGCAACTGAGCGTGCAGAAGCAGCAGAAACCCGCCGATACCAATGGCAATAGCGATGGCCTGGCCAACGGCAATGTTGCTGCTGTGCAGCAACATCAGCTGCATCGCATGATCGTGAGTTGCGGTGCAGGCGCCAGCAACAACAATAGCAACAGCAGCGATAACAAGCAGCAGCAGCAGCAACAGCAACGTATTATCATTGCATCCCCGCTGCAACATGCCAGCAGTAGTACTTACAAGCAACATGTTGCAGGCAGTAGCAGCAGCAGCAACAATAGTCACGCAGCCACAATCAATCATCAGCAACGCACACACACGCCCACAACTGCCGTCTACTACCAACAACAACAACAACAACAGCAGCAGCATCAACAGCAATCACGTTTTAGCTTTAACTCACACAATCAGCAACATGCACAGGAACAACACCAGCAGCAACAGCAGCAGCAGCAACAGCAGCAGCAGCAGCAATCCCTGCTCGATCTCAGCGAGTGGAATAACACACGTGTCCTAGCCAAAATCCATAACCACTATGCCCCCGGGATTATCCGGCAAGTGCAGGAGGCCAGTCCCGATTCAATACTCGTGGAATTCGATTCCGCCGATTTGGGGCTGCTGCTATATCCGGATGTGCTGCACCAGGGCCGCAACCATGTGATACTCGATGCCAGCCCGCCCATGGCGGATGTAAGTAGAGCGACAAAAAAAATAGCTTCTAGCGACATACTAATGGAGTTTCCCCTTCCTTTCCGCCAATTAGATTACTGTGGACGCCCGTGTCTGTGTGCGGCAACGGATGGAGGGGCGTGGCTCCGGCAGCTTCGTCTATGTAGAGGGCGTCATAACGGACATCAATCAGGCCACGAAGCAATACAGCGTGCAGTTGATCGGCGACGAATTGGTAAGTGGTTAACTTAGTTAATATTCTGGTCTTTTTGTTCTTCGATTGTATTGATTAAAAACCTAGTTAAAATTAAAAGTATTTATGTATAAAATGTACAAATTGGATTTGTATTACACAAATTGATAGCTCAAAAATTATCACCTTGCATCCGTATCCTTTAAGGCCACCACCAAGGTTGTGCGTCGTGCTGATCTGCGTCTCCTTCAGCCGCCCTGGTGGGATGAGCTCAACGAACTGACACCTTCGGGTGGAGCAACTGCCCCGACAGCTGGGAATGGCAAACGGAAGGTGTCCGCAGGAGGAGCAGCTGTTGGCGAAGCGATGACCGTGCCCAGTGGCAACATTGTGTACCCCAAGGCGGCAACCGGAGCGCCTCTGACCTTCGTGGCTACGCGCTACGACGGTAAGCTGCCCACGGCACCACCCACGCCCACCCACCAGCAACCGCACCAGCAGAACCTTGTGAAACAAGAAGAGTATTATCGGACCACGGCCACGTCGCCGTTCCAGACGCGTCCCCCAATGGCCGGCCAGGCGCATATAGCTGAGCAGGCATCACAGTCGCAGTCGCAGTTGCTACCCCATCCTCAGCAGACCAATGGCCTGCCGGACATCGTGATCTCCCCGGGCAGTAATGGGCAGCATCTTAAGATGCAGCAGCAACAACAGCAGCAGCAGCAGCAACAGCAGTCGTCACGAGGCTACGACGACTACGACTCGGATGATGAGCTGAAGCGGGTCGGCATTGGCTACTCGCCAGCGACTGGCGACCTGGACACGGAGAAGATGAGCACCTGCAGCAAGCGGAGCAGCATGCAAAGCCGCGGCAGCACGTCCAGTCTACTCGACCAGAGGCTCACACCACGATCTCATCCAGCAACCCCAAGGTGAGTTGATCTTGCGAAATGTCCTAATGGAATGAGAAGAACTTAACATATAGAAACCATACATATAGTTACTATATTTAACCAGCACTGTCATCCTCCACAGATCTCAGGCCACCACGCCGCATCGCTTCAAGAAGGGCGACATTGTGGAGTCGGAGTCCGGCGTGCGCAAAAAGTACAATGGGAAGCAGTGGCGCCGCCTGTGCATGCTCTGCTCCAAGGAATCTCAGCGGCGGGGCTTCTGCTCGCGACACCTTAACCAGAAGGGTAACAACAGTACCCTGCCCTCGTCCACGGGTCCGGGTCGTTTGCATAGGTAAGTTAATCATGTGATATTAATTATAAAAAAATTAAATAAAAGCTCTGCATTCTAAGGCATTCCTGCATCAACTTTATATAAATATACTTGGTTAATTTTTATACAATAACTTATTTTTAGACCCTTGCAGTGAATATTATAATTTAATTCAGAAGTTTGCAAGTGGAAAGAGTGCAGTGCATTAACAGCCGAGTGTATCTAGACATGTCCGTTTTTCCGATTATAGGCAAACTAGTCTCAATTTTGAAGCTATCCAATTGAAACTTTGCATTTGGTATTCTATATACTCTTACTAGTATAAGTCGGAGCAGGCCGAATGGAATGACTATAATATCATATAACTGCTATAAAAAGTATCCTAATATTTGTAGAAAAAATTATTATTATCAATATATTTTCGTCTAAACTGAAATATGGATGTTGTGTTTTCTTCTAGAAATTTAGTTTAAATTTTATGAAAATTAGAATACTATATAGGGCCTTCGAGAAAATTGTAAAAAAAAACTTATAATTTCTAACTTGATCTGTAAAGCTGTAAATATAATTCGCATAGGTAAATGTAATTAAAAAGGGCCTGACTACTTCTTTGATTTAAAACATAAATATATATAATTTATATTACACTAATTATTAATGTTCGAATTGCAATCTGTAAAGGTACACACACTTTGGCGTGCCGAATTTAGCTTCTTTTCTTGTTAAAGCTTTGACTTACCCACTAACCTGTGATTTTTTCCACCTGTATTGCATCTTTTAGTGACAGCCGATCGAGCAGTAAGACGCAGATAGACGAGGACACATCGCGTGACTCGGAGACGTCGCCCAACTACCGGGTCAAGGGTCGCTACGATCAGGAGGAGACCGATGCGGCCGTCATGCTGGGTAAGTAACCTTTCTATCACCTTCCAGCTCTCACACCTCTTGACTCTTTACGATCCCGTGGAGAGAGAGCATCATAAATGCATCTACAGAAATTTATTCATAGTTTGCGGCAATTCATTTCAAGGCTGTTGTCCCTCTGACCGTCTCTTTCTGTCGTGTCCAGCGCCAGCTTAACTGTTAATCCCTCTTGGTTCGCACAATTAGAGGGACAAGGGCAAGCAGAGAGAGAGAGTATAGTGATCCGTTTTTCCATCGCTTCTCGGTGGCTTCTTTCACGGCGCTTCTGGAAATATTTCTTTGATTTTGGTTCGGCGCAGAAGAACCTTCTGGGCACCCTACCTCGCGTCGCCTTGCCCTTGCTCGTCATTCCCTTTGCTCAGTTCTTCCCCATAAAAGTATTCCTTTGGAATGCAGAAGAAACGAACTTCTTTCATTCAGAGCAGAACCGGATTTCTGGCGTACTGGAAAAACTGTTGTTAAAAGTCCAATAAAAGCCAGGCCTTAAATAAAGGGCCGCCTGATTGGCCTCCTGCTTTTCGACATTAAATTCGCATTAATTAAGGGCTTAGTTTCATGGTTTAAAAAATATATATAATTAACAATTAAACTTAGCCAGTTTAAATTTTAAAAGTTTTTTATTGCTTTCTGATAGAAATATTTATTATAATTTTGAAATCATTAGGTACTCTTTATTTAATAATAATTGTAGGGTATAGATAGCTTGTAATGCCTAAGAAATATTGTATAGAGGGATTCTTCCCAAATTCAAATACCGCACTCGGCTAAGTCGTCCCGACTCGAACCTTTCTATCGGCCCTTGTTTTCTGGTTCGATGCATTTCCAATTCACCATAAAATGCATATCATAAAGTTTTATTGTGGCTGCGCCGCGTCGTTCTTTCTATTTTTCTTCTCTGCCCGCTGCCCGATCCCTCTGTCCACCGTCGCCCGTCCATTTTTCACACACCTCAACAAAGGTCGTTTGTCCGTCTGTCCATCCGTCAGCCGCTTTTCTTGAAAGGTGTCGCTGCAGCGGCGTAAAGGTCGTGGCCGATTCCGATTTCGATCCCGAAAACGAATCAAGGGTTCCATTGTCTGCCTCTCTGCTTCTCCCACTAGCATCTCTCCCCTCTCCCACTCACACTGTCGGCCACTTGAGAGTGTGACCGCAGCGTGATTTACACGCCAGACGCAGCGACGTCGACCGAGGCAGAGATAGCAACGGCATAGCAGCAGAGGCAGAAGGAGAGATGCTTGAGCAGAGACGTATTCTGCATTTTTTTATGGGGGATTCTAAAAGTGGAGAAGGTTATGAAAAATAGTTTGCATTTCGTAATTCCTTGTATTACAGAAATTTGTTATATAACCAGTTACCACTCTACAGTAACATAAGAAAATATTAATTCACAACAATATATTTCATAACTAAGTTAAAAAATTTACTATGTAGCCGAAGGAACTTATCCGAATTCAATTAAAAATAATTTTGCAAATGAAATTAAGCATTTCCTAGTCTTAAAATTTACAAAGATCTAGTTTTAATAGGATAGGATATGAGGGATTCTAAATTGTAGGAAATTATTGTTTAACGAAATCTGAAAAGGGGTGTACCTTTAAGAGAAAATAATTAAAAAGAATTATGCAGTACTCAAAGCAAGTTACAAAGAATATTTTTCTTTATTTCCTTGAATACTTTTTTTGCATAAAAAAAAATGTATTTATTTTAAGGTTTTAACTGTAGGCAAGCTAAGAACAAGTGATCTTAGCCTTAAGGCTTTTAACGAGAAATTTAGTATATATGTAGCCTCAGTAAAAAATACATGCTTTATAACTTAAAATATTAATTACATTGGAGGAGGTAATAGATGCAGTATGTGCAGCTGCTGATTTATTTCGTAAACAATAAACATCAAGTGCCTTAATAGTTTATTGATGTGCATTTAATCCCCTTGCACCGTCACTGTGCTGTACGCATTCCTAAGCACCTGCAGAAGGTAAGAGACGCAATGATCGCTGTGACAGAGGCGTCGGCAGAGCCACTTGAAACGAAACAAAGCGAGAGCAGCGGCGCCGACAGAGGGCGAGGGCAGTGGCAGCGTGCGAAGCGCAACAGATTCTTTTCTTTTATTCTGCTCTTTTCTTGTTATTTGCCTTGCCCTGCCTTTGATTCGTTTTTACCTAAACAAAAATGCACTTGAGAGCGGCCACGCACGCACACTCGCACGGGCTCCCTGGCTCACCGACACGGCAGGTAAACAAACATGGCGAGCGGCCCAGAGAGCGAGGAGAGCGCCCGAGAGTGGGCGAGAGAGCGGCGGCGCTCGCTCGATTTATGCTGCTGACGTCGCTGCCCTTGGCCGAACGTCGTCGCTGGCTCATCGACGATTGCCGCATTTATGCTGAGAAGTGGGAATCAAGAGCACCGAGCGAAAGAACCAAAGAAACCGCACCAGAATCGAATAATCTGAAGAAAAGACCAAGCAAAGCAAAGCAAGGCAAAGCGAATGTGACAACGACGGCAGAAAAAGGCAGAGCAGAGCAGTGTGAGGGAGCGAGCGAGCGAGAGATTTCCGTGGAAATGCTCTAGAGGAGCCACGGACGTCATGAATGCGTTCCAGGACTTTGAGCTGGGTGCCAAACTTTACCTGCAGTGCTTATGTAATGCCAACGATCGAGAGAGCCCGAGAGGGAGAGCGAACGCTAGAGCTTTTAACCAGAGCAGGACAGGATTTAATGATTTCCCTTTGTTTCTTCCCCTTTGCAGTGTCACTGAGCAGCTCCCGATCCGCCACGCCGTCGTACGCATCACCGGTGAACCACGCCGGAGCCTCTCCGTTGAACGCCATCGCCCATTCGCCGGTCAATGTGTCCGCCACTCATAGGCAGAACTTTTTCACGCCCATCGCCAACCAGTCGCAGCAATCCCAACAGCAGCAGCAGCAGCAGCAGCAACCGGTGGGCACTGTTTCCCTGGAGGGCAAGTGGAAGGCGACACCCAGTCCGGTGCTCTATAATGCCAACAACAACGGCAGTGCCAGTAATAACAACAACAATGGCTGGGAGACGAGCAGCAGCAATACAGGAGGAGCAGGCGCAGGTGGTGCACCTGGACCGCAGCAGCCATTGCCGCCGCAAACGACGCCGGTGTCGCTGGTTATGCACGCTCCGCCGCCGCACCACCAAGTGCAGCAGCAGCAGCAGCAGCAGCAACACCAGCTCCACCAACCGCCGCCGCCGCCACCTGCCGCTCACCTCAACGCCAGCCTGCCAGCGCCATCAGCTCCGCATATCGGTAGCAGCAGCAGCAGCATGGGTCATGCCACCAGCGTCATACGCATCTCCAGCAGTCAGCATCAGCACCAGCCACAACAGCAGCAGCCACAGCAGCAGCATCCCCATGTGGTAGTGTCCGGCGGACAGACGTTCCATCCCGTGATCGTGGATGCCTCGCAGCTGACGGTACAGCCCATGCCGCCCACCACGGTTTCATTTCATCAGCCCAACACGCCCACCACATCAGTAGCCGCGACAGTTGCACCCTTGGGTCAGGAGAAGGTGTTGCCAAAAAACGGTAAGCCACGTATATATGTATCTATAACTAAGCTGCGATCTCAACAATCGATCATACTTTAGCTATAGTTATTGTTTTCAAGTTTAAGTTAGACTTACTTAAATTAACCTCCGACTTTCAGGCTACAATGCGCCTAGCCATCCCTGGTACAAGCTGCTTCCCCAGATGCCGCCCATGACCAAGCCGCCGGCAGTGTCGGTTGCCCAAGCCTCGACCACTGCGGCCAGCAGCTACAGCGTTGTGATGATGCAGCAGCAACACCAACAGCAGCAGCAACAGCAGCAATCATCACCGCAGATGCCTCTGACCCACAATAATAACCATCTGACTGTGCCCGCTCCAATATGCTCACCGGGCAAGCCGCTCAACTGTTCCATGAACGATGCCAAGGCAGCGGCAGCAGCTGCCGCAGCAGCAGCAGCCAGTCATCATCATCAGCAGCAACAACAGCAGCAACAGGAGGAGCAGTTGGACGAACAGCTCGACGACGATGTGTTCGAGGCGACACCCACCAGCAGCAGCAACAAGAAGCCAACTGCAGCCATGCGACTGCCAACGTATAATAGCAACATTCGTAAGCTGGAGGAGTGCCATGACGCGAGCGATGGAGCAGCCGGTGCGCCAGTTACCTCGGCTGCCAAGCGCAGAAGCCAATCGCTGAGCGCCTTGCAGCAACAACAACAACAACAGCAGCAGCAACAGCAGGCAGGAGCAGCGGCTGGACAACCGGCGAACAAGAAGATCCGTCGTCCAATGAACGCCTTCATGATATTCTCGAAGAAGCATCGCAAGATGGTGCACAAGAAGCACCCAAATCAGGATAACCGAACAGTTAGTAAGATTCTGGGTGAGTGGTGGTATGCCCTAAAGCCAGAGCAGAAAGCACAGTACCACGAATTGGCCAGCTCCGTGAAGGATGCACATTTTAAGCAGCACCCAGAGTGGAAATGGTGCTCCAAGGACCGTCGCAAATCATCAACTTCGACGGCTGCGACAGGAGGCAAGGCTGGTGGGGCAGCTGGATCGGGAGATGCCAAGCAGCGCCTGGTCTCGGTGGATGGTTCTGATTCCCTGGAGCACGACATGTGCCCCACGACCCCCGGTGGCAGCGGTAGCTGCGGTGGCCAAGGCATTTCCTCTGATCTCCAAGGCGACATTATACCGCTAACAATCGATAACTATAACAGCACTTGTGATGAAGCGCCAACCACCATTTCGCTAAAGGGCAACGGAAAACTCCTGAAGAACGAGTTGCCCTCGGACGAGGATGAGCAGATGCTGGTGGTTGAGGAGGAGCCAGCACAGCATCAGCCCGCTAAGAAGCTGGACCTGCATTGCCGGGAGCGAGTCAACGATTCGGACATGGACGAGGCGCCGTTCGACTACCGCAAGCAGCAGACAGACGCAGATCAGGTGGGAATGCATACATTTATATAAATTCATATATATTCATTCAAATATTCGTTTTAATTTCATTTAATAGCGTTCGGCTGAGGAGCCCAATACGTCCGGTGCCAACGGCCAGGCCATGAGTGCACCACTATCCAGCGGAAGTGGTGGAGAGCGTGAGATTACACTCAAACCGAAGGCCATCAAGGCCCATCCGGTGCTGGAGAGCACCATTCTGCCATACCCACAGATGTCCATCTACACGCAGTACACTAGTCCCAAGAATCCAATCGGTGTAACACCATTCCAACCCACAGGCGAGCACAACCACCGCTAATCATCATTCGGGACATCCCATACTAATCAATGGATTTGTTTCTTTAATTGTATGATCTTATAGGCGGCGCCTTTAAGTCAATGCCAATTAGCCCCAAGGGCAGCGGCAGCAAGCCAGAGGATGCTGCAGGCCTGCAGTCACATATCAAGCAGGAGGACATCAAGCAGGAGCCACCGTCGCCCTACAAGCTAAATGGCAGTGGATCTGCATCTGGCGGAGGAGGTGTGCTCAGCGCTCATCCGCCAAGTAGCGGCAGTGTCTTTAACTTTAATGTGCCAACAGCGACGGCTTTGAGTCAGAAGCAGTTCCACTACCACATGCATCATCCCCATCGCAGTCCCACTGACTTGAGAGGTGAGTGAATGCGAAGCCAGAAGAGAAAAGCAAAAAATTCGAAAAGGGAACGTTGTTGAACATTAAGATTGTTGTAAATAAATAAATAAAGGTTAAGATTACCTTTAACAAGAAAGGAAACATAATGATGTAAGCCGAAGGTTTGCAGTTGAATTATACGATTGAATCAGAAATTATTTGCAAATTTTTACAACAGTCTTAATGTTCCAAAACAACTGAATTTTATTTAGTAATATCCCTATTCCTTTAAAAAGAATACTTCTTATTTTGGTATTAATTTATTTCACACGTAATAAGTATACAATTTTATTTCTTTACTTTAAGTTTATTTAGTGTTGGCATTATTTCAACTATGATTTGTTGCTGTCGCCGTTTGGTTTTGTTTACTTAGCGCCAGCCGCGAGCTCATAATTTCTTTGATTTAATTTGAGTTGAAGCTAATCAACAAAATTGGGGAGAATAGGAAATTGGAACGTTTCTAGTACTTGCACCGCCCATCGCCCATCAACCCCAAGGTCCACACTTTATGCTTTTTTTTAGTCGCAACTTCATCAGCAAAGTTTTTCCCACGAAAGCTTTTTGCATATCATAACCATCTTTCTCTCTGTTTCTCTCACTCTCTCTTCTCACACGATTAACACCCACCACCACCTCACATGATCTTGATCTTCCTTTTTCGCGCTGTCATTTTCGTCACCTTACCATAATGAACCTCACTCTAAACACACACGAAAAACCAGAGTCACAAACGAATAAAGCAGGCAACGTAAAGACTATGCAGCATTCAGGGGAGGATACCAACGGAGGGGACACCGTTGGCCCGGAAGATGGAGCAGAAGTGGTCGATGAGGCTGGCAACGAGGAAGAAGACGAGGAGGAGGAAGATGAAGATGATGAGGACGAAGACGAGGACGATGAGCAGTTCATGCAAGAGCTGGCCAGTGTCAATGCCAGTGCCGGTTTCGATGACTTCTCCCCCTACGCCCCAGTGCCCAAGGTCGTGGTTACACCAACAGCTACGCCCACACCGCCACCCACAATGACGGCCACCATTGTGACGCCCATCAAGAGGAAGCAGTTCACCATTGTGCGATCTTTGACCCCACTGCAGCCGGCCAATTCCCCGCACCAGCAGCTAAAGCATCTGCACCAGCGACGCGTTGAGACCCCGCCGACAGTCATCACCCGCGTACCCACACCCACCATCAATCACTTCACCATCATACGAACGCAGCAGCAGCATCCACACTCACATCAACATCAACATCAACAACCACACAACACTCCGCCACCATTGTTTTTTAAGCAGAAGAAGGTTCAGAGTGCACCAGTGATTGCCACGGTCGCATCCTCCACCACATCCACAGCATCAGTCCAAGCCAGTAACGATGTCCCTAATAAGTTTTCCAATTTTCCAATACACCAACACCAAAATCAACCGACAACAACATCAACAACAACCACAACGTCAATAACATGCAATACTAACAACAATGCCACGCCAATAATACGCAAATTGCTTACCCTGCAAGATGGAGGCAAAAACAACAAGGGCACAGGACGAGCAGCGATTCTATACGATGCCTTGGTGCTGGACACGTTGCATGGCCAGGACGAAGAGGGGAATGACGAAAACGATGAAGGGGATGGCGACCGGGATGATGAGCTCAAGATGACAACCAAAGATGATAGGCAGGTGGCAACTAGCCAACCGGCCACTATGCTCCTCATCACTGATGTTAACTCGTACAACCAGCAACATGTCGCCGGAACCACAGCCACGACCGTGACATCGGGAGCAGCTACCCTACGACCCGTGTCCTTTATTAGCATCAATGCCTGTAATAAGATCACATTGCCAGCCAATGCTCGCATCCTGACGGCAGCCACAGCGACGTCTACATCGGCGACAGCAGTAACCAGTCAGACGGGAGCTACGCTCACGGTGCTAACCAAGGCGACCACAAACCATAGTAGTAGTAATGCCAACGAACTAACCATAACCGCCGCCAAAGCAGCTGCCCCTGTGGCCACCAGTGGTGGCAATAGCACCGGCAGCGGCAGCAGCAACAGTGGCGATGCAACAATTGTCATGATCAACTCAGCCACAACACCATCCTTATCATCCAATTCCAACTCTTGCTCCGCAGCTGCACATCAGGCGTGTGTGCCATCGTCGCCGGCTGGGATGGGACTGGGACATGCGGCTAACATTGCCACGCCCCCAGCATCAGCGCCGGCCCAGATCATGGCAGGGGGACCAGCGGCAGGCCAAAAGATGTTCTTCGCCATGAGCAGTCCGGTAAGTAAAAGAATTAGTAGCGAAAATAAATAAACTTTAAAACTAACTTTTATATCTATTTTCATTTCAAGTACTCAATGATGCAGCGCCATACGCCGGGCACCCCCAGTCTGGAGCAACTCCAACTGGACGCCTTTCCGCCGGGCAGTTACATCTTTAAGAACCACAACGGCCTGGCCTCCCTGCCTCCGCCCGTTAGCGCGCAGCCCACGATGCTGTTGCATGGCTACACGCCCAGTCACAGCGCTGAGCCGCCGGCCAGCTCACCCTCGTACAAGTCGATGCCCTCCACACCCAAATCGGCCACGTATTTGATGAGTGCACCGCCCCTGGAAAGAGGAGGCATGGAAGGAGGCGCAGGCATGGGAAATGCAGCAGCAACAAGTGGAGGCGATGAGAGCGATATGGATGCCGATGGTCAGCAGTTTATTTTGGCACCTACACCTGCTCAACTGGGACGAGCACCCTTACAGCGGCGCAAGAATCTATGTAAGTACCATCATAACATATGGACTTTTTCATTTTTAACTGTCTTGTAAACAATTCTTGTAGCCCAAAGCAAGTCGGAGAACAATGTGTCCTTTGGCTCTAATCTGGGGGCCAGCAATGGTCAGCACATCAGTCGTAAACTGCACTCGCCCACAATGATGGATGCGTCGTCGCCGATCATTGGGCATGTGAATAGCAGCAGTCTCAGCTCGGCACTGCCCACGCCCACCTCATCGACCACGACGCCGAATAGCGATGAGCAACTGCCTCTTACACCAACCACTAGCAACAGCAACAGCACGAACAACAATCACCAGCCCAAATCCCCGATGAAGGGTGCAGCAGGATCAGCAGCAGCGGCCGCCCTCAAAAAGAAGAACGATGAAATGAACGAGTAAGCATTTAAAATCATATATTTTTTATGTTTCCATTTAATTGCAATACATTTTCATCTCTTCAATAGCAGCGTGCTCAAGCAGGTGGACTTTGAGAAGAAATACAAGGCCCTGCCGCAATTCCAGCCGGAGGATTGTCAGTCACCCAGTGCCATTGCTGTGCCCTCTTCGCCGCGCGTTTATGGCACAAATTATCGCAAAAAGAACTCTGCAGCGCCGCCAGTACAGAAGCTACGTGAGTTTAGGATTTTAAATGCTTTTATTTAGCCCAAACTAAAGCTTTCGATTTAAATGCAATTTGCAGTGAGTGAAGACGATTCCATTGACGAACCAGCCTCGGCACCGCCAACCACCACACAACGTTTCTTTGGCCCAGACTTTTCCAACGAGCTAAAAGGTAAGCTTACTCTTCGAAAATCAAACTTCTGTCTTACACAAACATGCATATTTGAGCTAAACTTGGTCACCTTTCAAGGAGAGTTGTAAACTGTAAGAGGTTTAAGTTTAATTAAATACTAAAGAATGTGTTCGTGACAGAGAAGTTTGACTTGAAACATGTGCCTTAACTTTTACACATTCTTAATGAAGATGAACGCCTTGCAGAACTGGACAGTTCCGATCAAACAGGCCGCTCGCCCAGAACGCCAAAGACGCCACTGCAGAGCGCCCGGTCGGATGCCAGCGAGAAGGGACATCGCAAAGTGTTGGAGACGCGCCGTCATCTGGTTATGCAACTATTTGCGGTACATGGTAACTTCCCCAGTGCCCAGGCCACCATAGCCTTTCAGGTGAGTGTTCTTTAAATGTTTAAAAAGCTTCAGAGGTTCAATTCCATTTCATTTTTACACAGACCAAGCACATTGCTGTCTTTCCTCGCAAGCAAGATCTGCAGCTAAAGATACGCGAGGTGCGCCAGAGGCTTCTGGGCACTCCACATTCGGCGGGGCCCAACACGCCGGCGGACTCCAACTCGTCGTCGACCACACTGAGTGCCAGTAGCACTGGACTGAATAATGTGCAGTCAGCCAATGCTCCTCCCAATGCGACAGGTAAACAAACAAAGAGGAGGCTTGACTTATTCAAAAGGGTTTAGTTTTCTTTTACATTTTAAGTTACCTTCTTAAATTAGCAATTTAATTTAGTTTCGATTTCCCAATGAAAACATTTTTGTAGATGTTTTTCAATATTACTAAACGGCAGGTGGACACCAGCAACAACAGCACTCGGAGCAGCTGCATTCTGATGCCAAGTACAAGTAAGGGATCATTGAGGAGGAGGAGCAAGCATGGGACAAGACAACAGATACAAATGATTAGCTGCAAGTGACCAAATTACTTAAGAATAGTAAGCGAATCGACAGGAACAACAATTGCAGCAACTCAACATCAACACACACACCACAAGCAACATGAAATGAGATACAAGCAAGAGCTCACACTTGGCTTCAGCTCATCATGCATCCGATGCATGGTTAACTAGTTTTTATTATTAATTGCAACATTAAATTAAAGTAGCGAGCGGCGAGAAAAGGGAGAAAGAAGATTACAAATTTTAAATTACAATAGGCATATACAATATATATATACATGTAATTTGTGAGTATATAATGAGAAACTGATTACGAATGAATTTATTAAGCAGCTTAATAAATCAGGAGCAACCACAAATGCAGAGCTGACAGGTAGAAACTTTGAAGAGAATTGGAACTTTTGAAGCACACATATGAAGTACAGTAAACAAAATAACAGAAACAGAAACAAAACTAAAAAAGAAAACAAAACATGCATACATAATGGAAACATTGTATAATCCTCCGCGTAACGGCTTAGGTTTTAATTTACAGGCAAAAACTACAACTTACAAAATTGAAGAAAGAGCGACGGAAATAGAGGTTAAGCTTTAACTTAAATTGCACATTAATTTTGAAGTGTATTAAGCACAAGCAAAGAATTGTATAAAAAAAAAAAAAACAGAAACAAAACAGTAAGAAACTTGAAATGAATACTGTGTAGTTGTATTGTATATTTAGTCATAACATTTTAAAAGTGAACAAATCCCTCAAAAAACGCCCTACACCCCCCTTCCCCAACACACATCTTAATGCTTTTAAACTGTTTGCTTTTGTTCTCAAACTAACAAGTGAGATGGAGAACGAAACCTTTTTAAATTGTATGTACATTTCCTTTAATTGGCTTTTTACACTGTTGTCTAATTGAATTATAATTTATATATATATATATTTTTATTATTGATATATCTTAGAATAGCCTGTTTTTAAATTGTACACACAAACACACACACCGAAAAATAAACTTCGAATGAGAAATTAATTGGAAAACAATTTATTACAGAAGAAGAAAAAATGATACAACTGTCTTCCACTGTTGCTGCAATGTACTATTTAATAATTTTTACTATTTCGGTTGAATTAAATTTAGTTACAAATGGTTTTAATATGTATGTGACTTGTATGCAAAATTGTTAATTATTTAGTCTTGTCTTTTAAGTATATATTTTTAAAATTTTTCTCTTTTCTTTGTGTCCCATCCCGAAGAAGCAACAGTTGCAAGCCGATAATTAGATGGATAATACGTAATCCGACATGCTCACATACAAGAATACACTCGTACGAAAATAACCTAGTAAACCAACAAATAATAGATAAACAATATTCATATTCTAGTTATTACAATTATTTCAAAATACGCAATATTTACCATTATCATCATCATCATCATCGAAGGGGACATGTGAATTAAGTTGAATGCCGCTTCCATTCAGTTAAATTCATGCTGGACGCGCTGCAATCATAGAAATTAAATGGAACAATAAAGTAAAAAATACATTTGTAAAATTTAAACTCAACTCACCTAGCCGTTTATAATTTGTTTTTTACATTTTGTGTTTAATATTAAATTTAATCATAGTTTCTGTACCATGTTTAGTTCTTAATTACCTACTAGTTATTTGTATTAATTAGTGAACAAACGAAATTTGATATGATAAAAGCAAAAGATCGTAATCTGTAGTGTGTTAATGTTAAAAAAAAAGGAAACGCTAATAAAAGCAGAAAAATAAAACCAAGTTTTTAAGCAAAAATTTTAACCAATGTGTGAACTTAATTATAGTGGTTACAATCTCCCCTCAATTTTTATTTCTGACACTCCCCCAACTATTCCTACCCCCCTCTACCTAACAAGCTGACTTGTGCCAATGAAAAAGCTAATAGTATAATATTTAAATAGAGATCGAACTCAAGTAGAAATGCCCCGAGAAAAAATAATGCTAAGTAAAACACATACATATTTGTCAATTAGGTATTAATGTGCAGAAATAAAACATTCAACTTTTTGGCATGTACTATGTTTATCTGCAAGAACACAATGGCAACATTTTTGGCAAACCTACATTTCGGACAATGAAAATTAAACACTAAAAATGGAAAAGAAACAGGAAACACTGAAACCAACAACTTTTGGCAATTACAAGAACGAGAAACCAAAAAAAAAAAAAAAGATAAAGGGAAACAAGCTCAGAAAGAATACAAAAAAATACACAACCAAAATGGCGTTTCGGATACAAAATTCTAAAATTCAGGTAATACAAAAAGAAAACAAAATTACAGATAGTGTTGTATAATGTTAAAGACAATTTTTGAACAAAGTAAAAGTAAAAGATGAACAACTATTTAGCTATTTATAAAAAAAAAAAACGACGAGGCCAGTGAGTAAAATTTGCGAGAACATGTAAAATTTATAAGGTGCTTTTATAAACAAAATATTTGATAGACGACAGACGGGAGAAGGGAAGATCAGCGAAAAGGGCCTACTCCTCCCACATTAATATATATACACATATATACATATATCTATTTTTGTCAGAAGAAGGCATCAAACTGTATTTTAAAATGCTTTTAAAATGGAGGAGAATTTAGAAACGAAAACCCCAGAGTGGGTACAAAACTCTCGAGATTTAGTTGTGAGCGATTCGCACATTTTGACGATAAAAGTAGAAGGCGGAAGGAGCAAGGAGCGTGTGTTTTCTATAGTTTTTAATCGAGGAGGGACATTTTTAAATCGTAGCTGAACCCTCCTCACAACATAGAGCTAAATATATATATAAATGTATGTATATCGACATTTCTAGTGGCAATCCAAGTTACACAATGTTGTTTGCGGTTTGTTTAGTTAATTGTTAAAAGATAAACGGAAACCGAAGAATTACTCTTAAGTCAATGATTAATTGCACAATTTGAAAAGTTATGGCGCGATACTTGAGTTTGTAGTGAAATAACCAAACTTATCGTTTGCGATTGACTTTTAAAAGCTTTGTAAAATAACAGAAAATCATACAAAACTTATGATATATATATATATACATATATATATACAAACTTATTTCTGAAGTTAACTAATAAGCCAGTTATTGTGAAACGTATTTTGTAAGCCACGGAACACTTAAGACAAATTACGAATATTACCATACAATATACAAAAATGCAAACATATACAGGATAGTGTAACAAATACAAATACAAATACAAGAACAAGATATCTTATTATTGAAATGTGCAAATCTCATCTGATCGTCAAAGGAAATGTCGGAGACAATAATGGCTTTCATTCAATTAACTATTTGCTTAATTAGTTGCTCCCCTCAGCGGACAAGGAAAGCCCTTGTCTCCGACCAAGACGACAAACGGTCCTCACCATCAATCCACAGAAAAACACAAACAAGAACACTTTAAAGACACCCATATAAATGTATAAATAAATATATACGATGATAAAAATTATTGAATAAAAGAAAAATATACATTCATAATCTTTGAAGTTAAGATCATTTATTTATTATGGGTCTAACATTACCTTTGAGATCTGGGTGGAACTTAATGCTTGGGTTTACAGAAGTATATATTTCGATCCGTGAAACCATTTAACTTTCTCTTCAAATGATGAAATGTTATATCTTTGTTTTAATAAAATATTTGGACCTCTAATAGTATTTCTTTCTTCCTGCAATCATATTACCCTTGCAGGGTATTATAATTATGATCTATTCCTTCGTTGTTTTTTAACATAAATATATATAATTTATATTGTATTGATTGCTTAAGATCGAATTGCAATTTTCGTCATGCAGAGTTTAGCTTTTGTTTTTGATAATGTATTAATTGTAATGATAGTTAATAGCATTCTCTTTTAGTATTTGCTGAATTTTAGTTTTTTTTTTAATGAAAAATTTAAAGACTATTTAATTGAAAACAATAATTTTAATATATTATGTTTTTGTATAATAAATGAATATTTAAATATTATAAAACTATAAAAATTTTCGTTATATATGTATACATGTATGAATACGTATACGTAATATTAGCCGAGTTTTAAATTTATTTTTTCAGGCTAATGCCTGTTTTAGTTTATTTCAAGTTGTAAAGCTCCAAGAATTACCTTTTTAATTTAAAATTAATATTATAAAACTAAAAACATTTTCTTTAGTATAGATAGATCTTTTTCGGACTTCGTACTTCTTACGTATACTTAATATTTGCCGAATCTTAAATCAAACTAATGCTAATTAAAGTTCATTTTAATAAACACATTAATATTAATATATTATTTTATTGTATAATAAATTAATATTAATATTTTTGTGTATAGATAAATCTTTAACGGACTTTGCACCACGTAATATATACGTATATATATATACGTATACGTAATATTAGCTGAATTTGATTAATTTTGAGTTTGTTTTAAGTCTCCCTCTCTCTCTCTCTCTCTCTCTCTCTCTCTCTTTCACTCTATGTCTATGTGTATCTCTAGAGATATCTCTTTTTCTCACGCTCTCACTCATCTCTGATCTTCTCTTTACTTGGAGACTATAAATACAAGCACGGCTGCCTCACAGACCTCAGTCAGTCCGCGGCGGTGATAGTGGAAGTATTGGTGATATTGATTGCCCTTCGAGCCCAAAAATATTACCTGATCAATGTAATACCAAGATGGAGTTCAGTGCAATTATACCATGAAAAGTCTAATTGATATCACCAAGAATAGAACTATAGATACTATAGGATATACCCAACACTATGGGTAACTGCAAGGCTTCTCGAAGTTAGTTTCTTATCTTTGTTTTTTTTTAATTAAATATATAAACATAAATAATTTATTGAGATTAAATACAGTTGTTCGATTGGCCACCATAGATAGGAATCGTAGGGATATTCAAACTGTTCCCACCACCTCCACTGGCACCTCCTGGATAATACTCCTCGCCGAGGAGAGTACACTGATATCGGCACAGTTGACAAAGTTTTCCTGGGCACCGCAACCCATGGCCCCCGTGCCGTCCTCACAGACGCCCCAATTGTTGCCCGCCGTATATGTCCAGCGGAGAACGCAGTGGATGCAATTGAGATCAGTGGGCAGTTGTACTGTCATCACAATGTTACCAGTTGTTGTGTTGATGTAATACTCCTGGCTGCCATCAGCAAAGTTCAAAAGATGCTGTTCGAAGCACTCCTCCGACTCACTTCCGTTTTCATCCAGATTGCATATATGGAATCGGAAATAGCCCAAGTGATTGGCAGTGATCTTAACGGTTATTTCAGCTTCTTTAACGCCATTGAAGGACTTGACAATCACTCCACTGCCATATTTGCCGCCCAGCTCGTTGGGACGAGGTTGAGCCAAGCTCCAATCATCGCCACACAGACCGCAGCGACCACCGTTTTGGGTTTGTTTCTAGGAAGAGAAAAGAACTGTATGAAATGAAAATCTCAAAAGTATCTGCAGGATGTCTTACCCAGAAGCCACCGCAATACAATCCATTGTCATCGTAATTTGTGGGTGCCGAAGAATCGTAACGCCAGCGTGAAGATCTTCCCACAGGACTCAACATCATGCCATGGGCCTCCAGTTTTTGCATCAGACAGAAAATGCCCAAACTAATAATCAGAATCACCTCGAAGGATCTCATTTTGCTTTCACTTTCACTTTCACTTTGATCCATGGTGCCATGATGGAAGTCTTATATAGTTCCATATTCCCAATCCTTATCAGTTGCCAGGGGGTGGGTATATGTTTCTTTTTGATTTTTCGTCAAATAACTGTGAATTGTTCTTATCATAAATATAATCTTGACTCTGTTTATGGTTATTAGTAGTTGAAATTTTGGGGAATTGGTAGTATCTGACCAGGGAATTGGGCAAAACACCTTAGTATGACACATATAAACAATTGCTCTAATTGTTGGTAATTGAATCATTCTAAGCCCATAGACTTGTTTATGTTTAACCCATCAATGCCATTTTGATAAGAGTTCATTGCTTAGGAATAATTTCAATTTCAAGTGACACTTGTTAACCAAGGGCATAGTAAAAAAAGGTAAGGTTATCATAAACTTTTTGTAAATTAACTTATCGCATTACAGTGAGGAAATAAAGGTAAATGGAAAATCTTTATGGTTTCCATATATTTACAAAGATATTTGGTCATAGGTGATTCGTATTTTATTGTGCTATTGTATATGTATATGTACATATGTGCACACAGTAAATAAAAATAAATTAAGAAAGGAATAAAAGGTTATTTAAAGATAAAAGATTAAACTAGATAAAGTATATATATATATATATATATATATATCAAACAAATACTTCAAAATGCCCGCGCTAAAGACACAACACACTAAACTGATCGGTCATTCTGAACTTTATCTTATCTGGCAAATTTTCGAGGCTCTAAAACTGTCCAAAGATCAAGCCTTTTTAAACGTAGCCTAACCCCAGGCGACATCATTTTTCATTGGAAGAAAGGCAACTTTCTCCAGAAGGCTTTTGTATTTCCACAGTACTTTTTAATTATTAATTTTATTATAAAGAAATTATCCACATTAACATTATCACTTTCTATATGAACTATAATTACAATTTAGTAAAAATATTACAGATAACATTCACAGAACTCCACGCTACTGGAATAAGTAAACAATGTTGTCCTTCATAATTGAATTATTATTTAAGAATAAATACAATTTTTGGTGATCAAAGAACAGGGTTTAATTATAAAAAATATATATATATTCCATTTAGTTCCTGATAAAAATAATTAGACTGGTTAAGCAAATTTGTAAAGGATTTACAACTTTTTTCCTCTAACTTGCATGAAAAGTGCAAACCACCTACAGTACACAAAGTAGTCACAGAGATTAAATTCTCCTCTGGTCTTGATGACTCATTAATAATCATAATTAAAACCAAAACAATGTTATTATTTTTAATGTTCTGAGTTTTATTTAACTTTGGGTGACTGACTATGATTTGGCTTTAAGTACATTTCAGTCTTAAAAGGCAGTTTTCTTTGAATTACAGTCTGGTTTCTTAGACCACCTCGATGGGAGCAACGGGCTCACCGCCAGCGACCAACTCCTTGACCAGGTTGCGACCCCACTGGATCCTCACATCGGCGCAGTTCTTGAAGGTTTCCTGTGGGCCACAGCCCAAAGCTCCGTTGCCAGAGTTGTCGCAGATACCCCAGTTGTTGGCTGCGAAATTGAGAAAACAACTCAATTAATTTCCGACAAACCACAACCATGTTCAATACTTACCACCCACATAGGTCCAGCGGAGGACGCAGTGCTCGCAGGTGACACCATCAGGCAGAATGACGGTCACATCAAACTCATCCCTCTGGGTGCCAATGTTCAGGGACTCGCTGCCATCGGCGAAACGAAGACGATGCTGGTTGAAGCATTCCTCCGACTCTCCGCCAAAGGCGTCCAGGTTGCACAGATGGAACTCAAAGTGTCCCAAGTGATTGGTGGTGATCTTAACGCCAACGGTAATGGCATTGCCAGCCGAGTAGCTCCTGGTCACAACGCCGGCACCACCGATGCTGCCTCCAATCTCGTTGGCACGGGGCTGGCCATCCAAAAAGTTGTCGCCGCACAGACCACAACGTCCTCCGTTGTTAGATTGGGTCTGGGGATGTACGTTTTTAAGAATTAAGATGGATTTCAAGAAAAACTTTGAATAGAATCTGGTTACAAAGTTGATTTCCGATTTAGATTTTCATTTTGTCTTTAAATTTCCTCCCTATGTTCTATGTGAGGTAATAAAACCCTTCGAAGATACATTTTCTTCACTCACATACAATCCACCGCAGAAGAGTTCATTGTCGTTCCAATTCTGGGGAGCAGAGCCATCGTAACGCCAGCGGGAGGACCGACTGGGTGGGGACAGCATCATTCCATGGGCATCGATCTGCTGGAGGCCAATGGCCAAGAGGAGAGTCACGCTGAGCAGGTACTTCATGGCGGAGGTATTGGTTTCGCTTTCACTTTCACAATGCCTCTTGTACGGTCGCCATTGGATTTATATTTGCTCCTGTACGACTTATCATCGCGTTTCGAATTGGATTCGATTCAAGTGTTTTACAACAGCTCTCAGTGTGATAACGCACTGTGATAATGCTCTATATAAATAATATGAATTGCACTCCCGGTCCTGGTCGAAATCCGCAGAATCAACACTCTAGATAACCCCCCCGGATAAGCATCTTCGATTAGCCTAATGAAATATTCATAAAAGTGTCGAGCTTGAAGAATGCCACATACAAGTACCTAAAATAGATATGTATTGTTAACTTTCTAATCATACTCGAATAATCTTAAGTCCGTTTATTGAATTAACTGATCTCAAGTATTTCCCATCGAGTATTTGTTTTGGGTTGTCGGCTTATCAGAATCCGATTCCATTTACGGCTATATACATTTTCAGTAAATTGTTTCAGTTCATTGAAGAATTCATGAAAAGTATAGGTAGAACAATTTAATCAGAGAAATAATAAAAGTATTTATTGGATAGTATTCTTATATCATGATAACTATACGTTATATAGTTTTATTTGTATATAATATTTAGAGTATATGTAATGTATTACTATTATGTTTAATCGTCTAATTATTAATTTAATTAAATTTTCATTAATTGGTTTCGATCTTCAGAACTTTGTCTTTTCTTCTACATTTATCAATTCATTCATATAGCAACGATATGGTACAGTTAAATAAATAAATATAATGGCCATATCACAGAGTATACGAAAATCATTTAAAACACATGGAACATATGAATTTTGTCTATTAATTTCTCAATTTTTTCAATAGAAAATATATATTATATAGTTTTCCTATTTTATAGTTCCAACCTAAATACCAATGAGAACACAAAGAAACTTAGTTTTTTTAAAGGCTAAATGCGCTGATTCTGATCAAGAATGTATATACTTTATAGTAGCAAAAATAAAAACAATTCAAAATTAATTCATATACAGTGAAAAATTACTACATATTTGGGCAGAGCAGTGAACATGAAGCGCTCCCATTAAGACGAAATTATCTCACAATAAAATGGTGGATATTTTGGTCTGACTGAATAGGGAACATTCAGAAAAGAGCCGAAACATACTTTTAGGCCATAGGAACGAACTGTTAATGTATAAAAATATCTAAAGGTGTACATATAAAATATATAGTCAAAGTTCCAGTACTTATTTGTTTTTGAACATATGTGTAAATATTTCAAAAAGTGTTTAGAATTTTATCAAAAGTAACTTTTTATTTCTTAGATGTCATAGAAGACCAAACATAATACATATTATATTAAGAAATCAGATAAAGTTTGGTATTTTTACGTTTGTTCTTCCGAACTTGCAAAATCTCAAGTTTTGTGTTTTTTATTTTAAGAATTGAATTTATTTATTTAATTATTTAATTTTGTTTAATACATATTTATTTCCATTGGAAAATTAAAGTTTTTTCTGAGTACTCTATTATTAATTAATTTCCTAATCAATTGATTTCGATCTTTCGAAGCATGACCATAAATATTTCAGTAGAAAAACAACAAAATAAATTACTCCAATCACTATAAAATAAAAGCTGTAAACAGTAAACTGTTGAAAAATATCCAGATTCAAATTGGCATTTTCCGAAACAACCACAAACGTCATGATGACCTGCAGGATGAGTCCCACAAAGGTGTTGAATCCGAAAACCAAGGCGAAGCTGTCCTCCAGCAAACTGCTGGCCAATTCAGAACTGCAATTTCAAAAAGTTACAAATACTTTCCACATAGATTAAAATGCATTTAAAGACCAACCTGGCCACTGTTATGGTAAAGGCAAACAAGGCACCATAAAGGACATAGCCCAAGTAGGATAGGTATATGTTGGAGGTCCAGCAGGCCAAAAGAACACATCCTCCTTCCAGGATGGTCAGCAGAGCCATTGAGAGCATGCTGGTACTGGTGCTCAGACGACCGGCATGGAAATATCCAGCTAGAAGGGCAAAGACAGCACTCAAAAGGGTCAGAGCAGCGTCTACAGCCCCGTTCCAAAGAATCTGAAAAAGAGACCTCCAGGGTAAACAATCTTTCTTAAGAATAAAAAATCATTTTTAACTTACTGTTGGCTCGTTTTCAAAAGATTTCCAAACCACCTGCATGTAGGTGGAGATTTGGAGAAAGCCCGCCAAACTCATGGCATACCACAGACTCCACTGCACCACCAAGGGATTTGTGTAGGCGTTTTGGAAATGTGACCAGAGGAGCTGCAATGCTTGGACACTCTTATTCGGAATGGGTGTCACCTTAGCTTCCGTGACCTCTGCGTTAGCCTGCTCAGAAGCCTTCTCAAGGCCACCAGAATCGGGTTTAATCTCATCTTTATTAGCTTCGGATCGATTGTGGAAGTACACGCTTTTGTCCACCTTGGGCAGGAAGAAAGCCCACACCAACGCCACGACCTGTGCTGCGGATCGGTCAAAGGGTATAAGTGAACCAACTATAAGATAAATATTCTATAAGCAACCTACAGCTGACGGTGATGTAGAATAGTTCCTTGTAGTTCATCCAATCCAAGCCAATTATCAATTGCGACAAGATTCCGGCCACCAGTTTTCCCACGAACATGGCCGCTCTGGTGTGTGAGGTGACCCTGGGGTAGTATTGCTTGTCCACCTGGGCATAGATGTACGAGTAGTAGGCCACCTCTGCCGCTTGATAGAAGCCATATAAAACTTCCACTGCTTGTAATCCTGGCAAAGTGGTGGTCCAGATCAGTGTGCCCCAAATAAAGACCCCAGTCAGGGCATTGGCAATAATCACAGGCTTGTATCTGTTCAAAAATTATAATTAAATTATGATTACGATGAAGCTGATTACGAATAATGCGCCTACCTTAGCAAATCGGTTATCAGAAAGACGAATATGAGGAGCGCAAGGTAGGAGTAGGTACCCACGGGGTACACGGAGCGATTTACCTCATCCTGGGTAACGTGATACCACTCGCCCATCAGGATCTCCGCATGATACGGCTCCGAGGGTCGTATTTCCCGAAGGAATCCAAAAAGACAAAGCAGACACGATACCTTCAACCAAGACTCCATCCCGCTTCGACTGTCGTTTAAAATCTAATCGCGATTTTTACAATAACCGAGCGATAGTGCTTGGACTGGCGGCATGTGGAGAGCTTCGTTCGGTCAGCTATTAAAATAATTGTGCATTCTTCAGAGGGCTTACCAGGGTTAGCCCCCGAGTATAGAGATTTAGCTCCGACGCTTGTAATCAGCGCAACGCTATACGCTATATCACTATTTACGAGCTCAGAGAGATCTTTAATGGGTGTGCTTGGAAGGCGGGAGAAGCGGGAAGTTTCCGCTTACTTGGATTGGGCATGGTCACGATCTTGATTGAATTGCTCTCGACTGACGCGGTTCCCACTCCATCAAGTTGGCCATACAATTTATACCCTAATTAGACTATTATCTTAGTAATTAAGTGGATATGTAGGAAAATTCTCAGCGAGTCTTAAGAAGCTGACTGGTTTATACCAGACCTATTAATGGAACATAAATATCTTCTCAATTAGTTAAGAATATGTTAGTAGTAAAGAAAGTACAGGGTATCCATTCGTAGGAAAACGATTTTCCTAAGCTCGCTACTGGGATCAAGTACGAATATGATTCTCCCCGAAAAACCATTAAAAAGCTTCATTTTTATAAGCTCGATTAGCAAATCAAAACGGACTAGTTCGCGATTGTCAGCAAAACAAACAGCATTGTATTATCTTAACATATGTGTGGTTGTCAGCGTCCTTATCCGTTTCAGCCATAGCATTTATTAAGTAATGAAGTGTTGTGATTTAGAAGATTTGATAATTAAACACAATGAGTACTACAAATAATTGGTATCTTTATTCCGAGCACTTGAGACTGATTGTGCGTTTTATAAATGGAAATCAGCACGGTTTACTTAGAAGTCTGAATCAGATTGCAGATAATAAGGTGAGATAACTCTTCTGGGAATATAATCAACCATCGCATGAATACTATATCAGAGTATTCCAACGCAGGAACATGTGTTCTCTTAAGTCACAAACCGGCAACTTTAAGTACTGTCTAAATGCATCTAAAATTACTCCAAAGAGTTTTCCAGCGTTTCGCTCTCGGGGGCAGGGCACCAAAGCCACTCCACCAGCACGGATGTCAAATACAGAACGCCAACGCCAATGAAATAGAAAGCGTATGCCGCATACTGACCCACAGGATCAAGTTGAAAGCCTGTGATGAAGATCAAGGTCAAGAGCGACTGAAAGATGAGGGCAACAAACGTATTAAAGCCAAATACAAGCCCGAAGATATCGTCCTCTAAATGCCTGGCCACCTCAGCACTGTAAAGACATCAAAGGAATAAGTAATGGAAAAGTAATTGGTATTAAATACCAATCTGCTTACCTGGCCAAGGTGATGGTGAAGCCGTAAAGACCACCGAATACAATGAATCCTGCATACGACCAATAAATGTCATTCGTCCAACAGCAGATAAGTACACAGCCGCCTTCCAAGGCGGACAAGAAAACCATGATCAGGAGGGATGTGCGCGGTTTGAGGCGCCCGGTGTGCAGATATCCTGCGGCCAAGGCGCTGAGAGCCGCCAGAGCAGTTAAGATGGCATCAACGGCTCCATTCCAGGCGATTTCCGGCTCCGGCTCGATTACTTTCCACAAAACCTGCATGTAATAGGTGACCTGGAGGTAACCAGCCAGCCCAATTGCATACCAAAGACTCCACTGTACAACGCGGGGATTGGTGTAGGCAGTGCGGGTATGCTCCCATATTAAAAGCAGAGCTCGTGGCTTCTTGGGAGTAGCTTTCGGATGGGGGACCGCTACATCCAGGTTGTCCTCTCCGGGCAGCTGCGTTTGCTGATCTATATCAGTGTTAATCTTCTCCCGATGGAAATACAAACTTTTGTGGACTTTGGGCAGGCCAAAAGCCCACAGCATGGCAATTATTTGAGCTAAAATAGTGCTAGTTTTAGTAAAGATATAGTTGCAGATTGTATAATCCATACTTACTGCCAAGAGTTATGTAGTTTAACTGCTTGTAGTTCATTAAGTCTAGATAAAGCATCAACTGGGATGTGATCCCAGAAACCAGTTTGCCAGCAAACATGGCTGCGCGGGTATGCGATGTGACCCTGGGATAGTACTTCTTGTCCACTTTGGCATAGATATAGGTAAAGTAGGCCACCTCGGCGGCCATGTAGGTACCGTAGAAGAACTCTAGAATTTGTAGCGACAGCAAACTAGTGGTCCAGATGAGCATGCTCCAGATTATCACTCCTGTGGCTCCAATGGTAATGATCAGGGGTTTGTATCTGTTAATTAGATAATTGATATTGTAATAAATTATTATATTTCATATTTCGAAAAAAGGGAAGGATATTCTAAAATATTCTTTAAAAAGAAATCCCATACTCTGTTTACATTAACAGATCTTCAGATTTCTTTTTACTTAGCAGTACAGAACACCTGGTGAACCAGAAAACATACTTTTATATTAGGTTACCTTAGGAAATCGGTTATCAGGAACACAAAAACCAACTGCACCATGTACGAATAAGTGCCCACCGGATAGACATATTGCACGAGCTGCATTTAACGAAATTGAACATTATTTTAAATAAATAAATAAAGGCAATTGTTAACACTCACCTGTTCGTCTGTGATGTTCCGCCAAGGACCCAGGAGGTACTCTGTGACGTACGGCTCCGATGGCCGGATCTCGCGAACGAATCCGAAGATGCATAGCAGACACGAGATCTTTAGCCATTCCTTCATCTTGCGGATTGTGTAACGGTCAAGCGGTCCCTAACGTAATGCTATCACGTAACGATGGAACCAAAAGCTTGCGCTAGCTTAGCGTAAGGGGGAGTGCCAATATCGGTTGCCGGTAGCTGGTGTTCTGCATCCACATTTGGACGGGGGTAACCTGAATATGTCGCTGGCGTGGTAGCCTGGATTCACGGACAATCTGGTGTATCAGGCCATGGTCGTCGGGTGCTCAATCTAATCTTTGCACTCCGCGGATTCAAAATTATCACTTCGGAGCGAGCGCGTCGTTATATTTACACAGAAATCGCTGTTCCAATGATTGTTAGATAATTGTGAATTTATAATACGGCTATTGCAGACACAACCGGCCTGCGACGCTCGCAATTGCCTTTTGAATGTCACTCAACTCATGGAACATAAACGCAAGTGTGCGGAATTACTCTCCCACAGGTGGATCGGAGCTCTTGGTTCTCCAAACACCCTACACGTGCTCTCCCGCGTACACAAATGGCTTTGTAATTCCACTGCCAATGGCTATGTTATCGATTTGTCGCGAGCACAGAACACTTTTGCGCGACTAATAAAAAATTGTTTACCTAATGCGGCAGCCGCAATTAAAATCAATTGATTTCCGAGCCATAAATAAATTTGATTTCGTGTATTGCCGGCTGTTACGTCACAACAACAACAACTGCGACGCAGCATCTGTGCGTACGAAAACAATCGAGATGGTTGGCAACGCGGCTCAGCTGTTCTCACCTGACTGTCACTTGCGCACATTTCGAAACGACAAATTTAACAGAGTTTCCACGCTGAATAAGAAACGCCTAGAAACACCTTGGCAGAAACAGGCACTTTGTTATTGTAAAAAATACACGTTTATTTAGCGCGCTCAGTTTAAAATTAGTAATGTTTTGAATGTGGTATACAGAGTATTGTTTTGTATGCATATAACAAATAGATTTAGAGGGGAAACGTTGGCTATTTACACAAACAGAAGGCACGCGGAAAAGCTTTCGCTTTTCCCTTACGTAGAATTTGACGGAGACTGACTGACTGACTGACTATGAGCTAAAATTGGCCACATTTGCGGAAAGTTAGAAAGTACATGTAAAAACTCTTAACAGCAACATTGAGGTTAGACTCTCTCCGCTCTCTCCCCGTGTCATATGGGTGTCCTTCGGCTCTCTCACTGCTGGGCAATGGGTGTGGCCACGGGCGGGGCTGCGGAGCCGTTGTTCGTGGGATCATCCGCTACCGTTACAAATTCAATAGAGGCGGAATTGATGCAGTAGCGCTTGCGCGTGGGCTTCGGTCCATCCTCGAAGACGTGACCCATGTGGGCGGAGCAGCGGGCGCAACGGACCTCGGTGCGTATACGTTCTGGATGTGCGATTAGTAGTAGAATATTACCCCCTTTTTATTTGCATTTTGCGATTTTGTGGGATTAGATTTGCATACGTTTCGGTTTTTGTTGTTTGTTTGTTGTAGCGCAGTTTTGTTTCACATTTTTTACAATATTTTTGTATTTTTTTTTTCGTTTTGCAAGGGTTAATTCAACGTTTTTGTTGTAAACAAATTACAAGAAAATATATTGCAAAATGGATGAAAATGAAAAGCGTAGGAGATTGTAGAGAGTGTAAAGACAGGGGGCAGAGCGAAGAAATAACGGCAAATAAATGTGAGTGCAGCGAAAGGGGGGAGGACGAGGCGAAGAATGGCGGAAGAAAGAAAGAGAAAGTGCAGAGAGTGCAACGGAGAGCGAGCGAAAGAATAAAGAATGGACGGCGGCGGTTGACAAATGAAATGAAATCACGTAAATCGAGCGAAAACACATGAATCAGAATTCAAAATGGATTCAGTGATTTTGAGTTGCATTTCCACATAAGGTTGTAGTACATAATATTTTGGTTAATTAAGCATTTTATGCATATAGTGTTGTGTTTCATGTTACAATTTAAATATTATGAGTTCGTGTGAGTGTTTATTTTTTTGTGTTTTTTGTTGTTAGCAAAACAAACCCCCAAAGAACGTTTACAGGCGTACATTTAGTGTTTTTTTTTTTGGAAGCGAGTTAAAAAAAGAGAAATAGAAAATATACGAAAATACACATTATTCGGTTTGCTTAAGACACTCTAAATAGTATATGGACATAATGGATTCGGTAGTAATCGGGTTATGTTATTGGCAAAATCATTGAGCATGAGTAGGAAGCAACGAAAGCAAAAGTGTAAGCGAAATAATAAAAATAACCAAATTACAACACCAGCAAATAAAAATGAAATGTATAAATAAATAATCGAACAAGCTACACACAACATACAAACATATGCACAGACACACACACACACGTAATAATGGCCCTGGCCCCAAAAATAAATCCAAAAGACCTTGGATCGATAGTGATCGAAATGGGAAATATGAAATAAGCTCATATGGGTGCCGAAATGGATTCAAAACCAAAAAAAAGAGAGAAGATTGATGACAGTATGACAGTTAACCGAAAAGCATAGGAAAACCAAATTTAATAACCTCTTACGCAGATCACTTTGTCCTCTTAAATCATTTCTTTCCTTGCGTAAGCTTAATTTATCTATATTCAACAAGGTAAACTCCTACTAATTGTGTAAATCTTTGTTAACATACATTAGTTTCTAATACATTTCGATGGGAATGCCAAGTGAGCAGTTCAAAAGAAAAGAATAACCAAAAAACCAAATCAAGAAGTAGTTATTTTCTTTCCATAAAGTCTTACAAAATGCCTAAACAGGTAACAACAGTATAATAAGAATTTCAAAGGTCCCACAGAAATCATAATGGATTTTAAAGCCTTAACTTAAATTGTCTTTTGGTAATCTAATATAAAATTGTACACTGAATTTAAAATATTCCAGTTTACTGACTGTTTTTAAAAGACTAAAAGTCCAAAGCGATTTTTGTGACACCGCTAATTATAAAGATTTGAAACCGAAAGAGTAGATTGGGGTGAAAGTTGCTAACATAAAGTAGATGCATATACAAATATCATTTGATCTTAGACCGATCTACAACAATAATCTCTCACTCCTCGTTCCGTAATACATTTTCAAGCATCGTTCTTGTGCAAGCTTAGTTTTTTGTTTTCGCATAATAAACTCCTATAAAATATCTATATATCTTTCTCGCGTCATGACAAAAGTAAACGTGTCTTTGTATAGAAATCTAACTGCTCTGAGAATATCTCAGTGTAATGTGGTATTTCCTCCAGGTATCTGTATAGGGCTCAGTGTGGGCACAATTCCCATCCAGCTGCAATGTCCTCCCTGGGGGCTAGCAGGCAGATCGGTTATTATTTTTTGATGACACCGCCGGCGGATCCGCCTTCGATGGCGCCGGAGCACTCTTCACAAAGTCGATCGACGCAGAGTTGATGCAGAAGCGGCGGTGCTTGGGCGGCGGTCCGTCGTCGAAGACGTGGCCCATGTGGGCGGAGCACCGGGAGCAGCGCACCTCAGTGCGCACCATGCCTAGCGTTTTCGAAATGACTACTGTTGATTTAATCGGGTTAACAGTGTGATATTTGTGTGCGGATGGATATTGGTTTTTGGGGCAACAGTCGGAATGAGATTCGTATTTCGTATTTTTAGAATATATTTTTTTTTTTGGAAAAAGAGAAAAGTTTCGAGAAAGTCAGGCGGGATAGAAGAGGTGGATAAGAGAACACAATACTCGGTTAGGAATTAATTTTAGTCGCTTCTTTTCGCTTAGTTGCACATTCAGGTGCTGCCACAGCAGCGGAAAACACTCACAAGACTAGACGGTAATGGCACAAAACGGCAACAACAGCAAGGCCAACGGTACAACTACAGTGAACTCTGGGCAACGCGCACCACATGTACCATGAAACATGTTTGGGTTCAAGTTCACGTTCAAGTTCAAATTAAAGTTCAAGACAAACAAAGCAAAAAACAAAACGAAATAACATAACATGGCAACACAATTAGCACAAAACAGATATGAGATATACTGCAATATAAAGATTTTCCTATTTAATGTCTACTACGTTATAATGTGCCTTAATTGCTAAACTATTTAATCATTTACAGCGTTTAAGCCCTGACTGATAAATTTCTCTGACTGACCTTTTAGTCTGTACATATAAATACAGGAAAACTTAACCAATTCTTTTTTATCTTTTCATAAAAATGCAAATTGAATTTGTCCTAATTTACTATCTATTTTGTATTAAAAATTCGTAAGTATTTACTGCTAATACTAATTAAATTGAGAATTGCATCAAGGCTTTATAAACGTAGTAGATATCAGCTCCTTAAAGTCTACTGCTATTATTTTATTACTGCACATATGTACATATGAAACAACTACACATGATTTCCTTTCGTCTTAACATGATTTTAGTCTCTCCTCAGATTGAGTTACAACTTTATCCCTAACTTTTAAATATGGTGCGGCAACGAAACAGCAACTCAAATAAAACAGAACTTAAAACGTTTTGCAACTAACAACAACTACGAGTGCCGAACGAACTCTAGACTCTAGAGCCTAGGACCATCTGGGATATGTGCCGAGTGGGCGTTACGCACCTGGAATGCTGGCGTCACGGTGCAGCGTAACCTTGCCCTTGTCGAGGACATCGTTGAAGGCCGGCCAACCGCAGCCGGAGTCGTATTTGGTGTCCGAGCTGAACAGGTCCTGGTGGCACACGATGCACTGGTACACGCCCTTCTCGTAGTGCTTGTTGTAACAGCCTGTGGTGGTTGGAAAACATAATACGTTATTCGTCTTTCACCTAAATAAGTATGTTTAAGGTATTTTCGTGTGAGGGGGAGGCACACCTGTGAATGGGCGCTCGGTGCCAGCCTCCTGTGTAACCTGATACTGCAGCGGTGTCAGGCGCTTGCGCAGCTCCTCCTTGTTCACCGTAACCTTTTCGCTTTTATTCTCCATGCTTGCTTTTCCGGTGGAATCCCTTTTAGCCGGGTTGTCGTTGATGTGACGTGAATCTGAAATGTAATACTTTAGTGTTTAGTTTGTGGTTTGGTTATGTGGATTTTTCTGTAACCACCACAGCGTACCACTAGTTAGGTAATGGAATTTGAGTAATTATGGCAGTGAAGAGGTATTGCTTGTCGCCAAGCTTCTGTAAGATTTGGCTTCCCAACTTATCTGTGGGACTATAAACTAAACCTTGGGCAATCATAATTTGTTAATTTAAATGCCATCTCTTAGCCTACGAATAAGATAAGAAATAGGTGCTACAGGCTATCAGCAATGAGTTGCAAAAAATATATTTTCAAAACCACAAAATCATCATATTTTGTTAAATATGCGATTAAAGTCGTAAACTCAGTTGAAAATAACTGTTCTTAATCACTTTAAACAATAAAACAGTAGTACTTAATGGTTGGTGGATTATAGAAAATCTAAAATCGCTTACTTGTTAATAAATATCAGAATATAAACATACATGTAGATGCATTCATTCCGTCTTAGATTCTTGAATAAAACTTTTAGCTCCCAGGGTAAACCCCTCGGAAAACAACCGAATAGCCAAAGTTATGCTTATACAAAACACTGGAGCTAATTGGCCAAGGTGTAAACAGATTGGTTAAGTGCAGGCAAAGAAGCACAAGCAACAAATCGAGTGGAGAAACGCATCGGGCTAAAAATAAATTAACGATCCCCGCTGCCAGCAATAAAACAAAGTGGCGCTTAAAGTAAACACACAAAATTTGGGGGGATTGCGTCTGAAAAGGGGCCTCCGAGCAGATGGGGGGAGGAATAGTGATCAGGGGAGGGGAAGCACCTTTTATTTTCGGTGCAATAATAGAAAACCACCGAAGTGTGTCGCGGGCAATTAATTAAAGACAAATGAATTAATTTCGAGAAAAAGGCGAAAATAAAATCGAATTGATGAACATAGAGGTGGAAAATTGCGTTCATAAGGAATGCAAACGAGGCAGCAATTTGAACTAGAAATTGTGGCTAAAATTAGAAGATTGCCAATCGATTGGATGGGAAACTCAACAAATGGGATCAAAAGGCAAGTCCATTGTTTTGAATGAATGCGGGGCCACACCCACAGGTGGAGCGTTGCCCCTTTGCCTAAATCAACAAATGAATTATTCTCTATAAAGGGGTATGGTCAGTTCTATATTACTTTGATTTGAAATGTAATGGAACTGACTCTGAAAATAACCGGGGATATCTATAGCTTTAGCAGCCGTTGTGAATAATATTTTTGTTAAATTGTAAGTTATTTTTTATATATTTCGTTTGTTTTAATGAAATTATAGTTCGGTGAGCAAGAGTCAAAGTTGTCTATCGATTTTGCATAACTTTGTTTGTTTATTCGTTGGTAATAACTGAACTAAAGGAAATGAAATTGTAGGGACTGCAGTATGACCTATACCTTAGTTAGTTTGAAAAGGGTATACCAATGTCGGCTATCTGTCTTCTGTCGTTTTCACCTGTCACTCACCTGCATAGCAGCGGCTAGATGGAAAAGCGGCGGCGGCAAGTGCGAAATTTCGAGTACGCCGCAGTGCGTGGCGAGAAAGTGAAAACATTTTTCAAGTCCCCTTGGTTTTCGGCTAATACAAGGTGACAACTGCACTTGGCACTGCCAATTCGCCACTAGCTTGTTATTCAATCAAACGGCGGGAGTGTGGAAAACGAGGAAAGCGCTGAAAAGCACGGGGCAAGCGGCGGAAAGTCAACCCACGCGAACTAATATTTATGCAATGCCCGTCCTGTTGTCACTTCCGTCTTTATTTCTATTATTTCGTTCTATTTTCGTTAAGCTTGTTGTGCTTATGCGCTTGGCTTGCCCGACTGTGTGAGTGAGTGTGTGTGTGGTTGGGTTGCAGGGAGAAAGCGCATTAGAGAGAAAGCCGTGGATGCTCAATTGCACGCTCATTAAAAGAAAATTGTCTGGCGCTCGCTCAGTTTCCCAAGTTCTTGGCTCCAATGTCAGCCGAGCAACATACACACACACAAATACACAAACTAAAGCACACACAAAACACACATTTTCCCACACTAAGCGCGGTGGCGTGTCCTTGGTTTTCCCTGGAAGCCTCTCACCTGCTGAAAACTGCCCGAAATGGTGCTGCGCCTGTTTTGCTTCTATTTTTGGCCTTTTGTTTATGAATTGAAGCGTGCTCTCAGTCTAATAACAAGCGCGCGTCGCAATGTTACGCAGCGGGTGGAAAATCAAAAACTAATACAATACAAAAAACCTGACAAACAGCTGACCATGAAAAGTATTCTTCTCCCCAGCTGTAGAGCTGAAAAACTATCGATACTGAAACTATCGAGTTGGAAATAGTTGTTTCCACTGTGACAACTGACAACTATTTTATGAAATGAACAAACCACACTTGATCTTATGAACAATTTTCAAATATATCAAGTTATTTATTTGCTTCCTATATTTATCATGCCAGAGGGTCAACATCTTGGGATTTTCGGAAACGATAGTTCTCTATGACTCTAATTTATCGATTATAAACAGCTGATGGCCCGCGTTGCCAACTACTGGCGAAGTAGGCGACTGAAGTCTGGCAACGCGGTGTGACTTTGTTGTTCTCACAATTTTCGAGCTCTGTGAAATTGTTTATCAGTATTAAAAAACGAACTAGACACAGGAAAGAACTGAGTCTTCTTGTGTCGCACAACAGGATTCAAAAGCCAATTGCACTGCCCAAGTACGCATAATGCGCTGAAACGTCCAGGAAGCGCCAATTAAGAGCACAACCGACCACACACAGAGAGGGCGTCAACTAGAAGTAGTGGGGGTGGAACCTAGCGAAGAAAACAAGGGAAAAAGGCCAGAAAAGCAACCTATATCCAAATAATTTGCAAATTTACGGCCCCAAGCAGCATGAGCAACCACAGATACCATCACGGGGGTAATTACATGCACCCACGCATGTCCTACCCCCACATCACTTCACCTACGTCTCCTCCTGCGTCAAATACATGATCTTCCTGCTGAATTTCATCTTCTGGCTCTTCGGGGCCTGCTCCTGGCCATCGGCGTGTACGCCTTCATGGACAAGCTGAAGGATGGCAACGGCTGGGTGCGCCTGGACACGGTTTACGACGTGATATTTAACATTTCGCTGGTGATGATTATAGCAGGCATCGTGGTGTTTGTGGTTAGCTTTGCCGGCTGCTTGGGCGCCCTGCGCGAGAATACCTGCCTGCTGAAGTTTTACTCGATGTGCCTGCTCATGTTCTTCATCATGGAGATGACGCTGGCCATTATCTGCTTCGTGTTCCCACAGTACATGAATTCTTTCCTGGAGTACCAATTCACGGACAAGATTATCCACTCTTACCGTGACGACTCTGACCTTCAGAACTTCATCGACTTTGCCCAGCAGGAGTTTAAGTGCTGTGGCCTGAGCAACGCCGGCTACCAAGACTGGAGTAAGTATCAGTGGTATTCGGTTTAAGCCAGAATTTGATTATTTAAATGCATTCTTTGAGCAGGCAAGAACGAGTACTTTAACTGCTCCTCACCGTCGGTGGAGAGGTGCGGCGTACCCTACAGCTGCTGCATCAACGCCACCGACATCAGCTCCGGCCTGGTGAACATAATGTGCGGCTATGGCGTACAGGAGCATTCAGTGGCCGCCGCCAGCAAGCGCATCTGGACCAGCGGCTGTATCGAGATCGTTCGCGTTTGGGTGGAGCGCAACCTCTATGTGATTGCGGGCGTGGCTCTTGGCATCGCCCTGCTTCAGCTTTTCGTCATATATCTGGCCAAGACCCTGGAGGGCCAGATCGACTTGCAGAAGTCGCGCTGGTCGTGAGTGCCATGCCACCATCCGTACTTGTACGGATACCCACCCTGCGAAGACGACCCCTACTACAACTCGCGGATGTGAGGCTGGCGAGCTGTGCTGGTCCTGGCCGCGCTCAAATAGTTCCCAATCGAATTCCCATACTCCTAGGTCAATCCATAGCTCTCCAGTACCCTATTGTTCTCTCTTGTTTTCCGGAACGTCTTCAGTTCCCTTGCCCCAAAAAAGTCTTACAATCGTATAGATACTCTCTAGGCTAAGTAACAATATTTATACTCGTACATATGTGTAACCGCATGTCGCAACAGCTCTGTATGTTTTTAACGTCAGCGTGTGATGCTTAGTCACAAGTAAAATCGAACAAATTTAAAGTTTTACCCAAGTAAATGTATGCAATATCGTACTATTTAAAAGACAATTGTATATAAGCTAGCGAGTTCCATAAGAAATATGCATTTAAAATGAGATTTATATTTAAACGCGAAACCAAAACTGCATGCACGTTTGTTAAACACAATAACATAACTAGACTTATTAGCAATTTTAAGTATCTGTGTACGAATCTTGTTGTATTGCGTATTCAAATACAGACATTCTATACGTGTACGCATTAATTTCCATTCATTGATAAGTGAGATTAAGGGATACATATCGAGAGGTATAATTTGATATATGGCCCTAAATATTTAGTTTTTACTATTATAATTTGTACCTAAACGATAGAGCTCGTCTCTCTAAACCTGACGTACATATCTTGGTCTAATTAGTTAAAGTAAAAAACGTGTTCTGTTCTCCTAACGAATACATCACGATTGCATAGTATTCGGAACATGTATGCAAATGTTGTCGATGCTGTGAAGGATGTCCGGTTCGTTTTTGCCCTTGGCCTTTGGATAACCTGCTTATACTATTATTTATATTGCGAAATAGTATATTAAACGTCACAATCTAGAACAATTCATTGAACTTTGAGTCTGATAACCTAAATATGCCAGGGTAGATAAGCAAGTCTAAGAAATAATGAACACGAGTAGCTAAACACATACTTATATGGGTCTTGAGCGGAATTGGACCCCCTAAAGAGATAGTATTACATATACAAACATTGTTTATTATTCTACGCAATCGATTGCAATTGCCAGCTGTTATAAAAAGGGAAAATGAAATACAATCTTCTTCTTTAGTACTTGATAATGGAGCGAATGCTCTCGCCCTTGTGCATCAAGTCAAAGGCCTCGTTGATCTTGGACAAAGGCAATTCGTGGGTAATGAACTCATCAACCAGCAAATCCTTGTTCAGATAGTCTTCTACCAGTTTGGGCACATCCGAAACGGAGCGCCAACCGCCGAAGGCAGATCCCTTCCAAACACGACCAACGACCAGCTGGAAGGGACGCGTAGAGATCTCCTGACCAGCGCCAGCCACACCAATAACAACAGAGGTGCCCCAACCCTTGTGGGTAGCCTCCAAAGCTGCACGCATAGTGTTCACATTGCCAATGCACTCGAAGGTGTAATCGAATCCTCCGTCGGTCAAGTCAATCAGGTAATTCTGAATAGCTCCCTTGTCGGCCACATCTTTGGGGTTAACAAAATCGGTGAAGCCGAATTTCTTGGCCAACTCGAACTTATCGGGATTGATGTCGATACCGTAGACCTTTGCGGCGCCGGCCTTTTTGCAGCCCAAGCCAACGGCCAGGCCCACAGCTCCCAGTCCCCAAACAGCGCAGGTACTGCCAGGTGTGACCTTAAAAAAAATAATTAATTAATTTCTAGAAGGTTTCTGAGAATTACGTAAAAGAATATAAACTACACAAATTGTGCAAAATATATTATAAGTTTAAAGGTAATTTATGGACACTCCAAGAGAATCCTTATCAAGCTTACCTTGGCTGTGTTCAGTGCAGCTCCATAGCCCGTAGAGATGCCGCAACCCAGCAGGCAAACCTTCTCCAGCGGCGCCTTCTCGTTTACCTTGGTTAGAGAAATATCCGCCACTACAGTGTACTCCGCGAAAGTGGAGGTTCCCATGAAGTGGAAAAGCTGCTGGCCCTTGCAGGAGAGACGGGAAGTGCCCTCGGGCATGACACCCGCACCCTGGGTTAGTCGGATCTTCTGACAGAGATTCGTCTTGCCGCTCTTGCAGAACTTGCACTCATCGCACTGCGGAATGTACAAGGCAATAACGTGGTCGCCGGCCTTGAACTTGGTCACTCCCTCTCCGACGCTTTCCACAATGCCGGCGCCCTCATGGCCCAGGACCACGGGGAACAAGCCCTCGGGATCGGCACCGCTCAAGGTGAAAGCATCCGTGTGGCAGACGCCCGTGGCCGTGATCTTGATGCGCACCTGTGGAACATTTTTATAATTAATAACCTAATCGTAACCCAGTACCCAGGGTGAACCGCTCTATTAACCTCATGAGCTTTGGGCGGCGCCACCTCAATGTCCTCGATGACCAGCGGCTTCTTGGCCTCCCAAGCGACAGCCGCCTTGCATGTGATAACCTGCAATTAAGGTGTGTTTTGTTGTATTTTAGTGCATTAGTGTGTCTTCTAATTAGTATTCGTCCAGGTGAACTTACCTTGCCTTCTGTAGCCGACATCTTGCAATATAATTGTAGTGGAAAAGTTTCGTGACAAGATCAAGTGGCAAATAAAGAATGGAGAGCGATAACAAAGAGGAGGCGGGAAAAGGCCGGGTAGCAGTGTGGCCAGAACGCGATCGGTCATGTACGCCAAAAAGCTTAGCTATTTTTTAAATTTAGCTTGAGCCCTAAATTTTAAAAGAATGTAAATACCTGAAAATTGCAACTCTTCCCAAAATTAGCCTCCTTCCATGTTTATTTTCCTTTATCCTTTTATTTTTTTAAGCTTAAGGTATTGGATATTTTATTCTTGGTTTAAGCGGTATTACTTTATTCAATTTAAGATGTAGCTTATCTTATAAACCACCTAAAGGCTTTTTTATTTCTACTCCAAACTTGAATAAATAAAATGGAACTCTAACAAAAAGAAACTCAAATTTAAAATAATTTATTGTACGTAGATAATTTTAAATAATTTTTACATAAATGCAAGTTTCTACACTACGTAAACAACAAGCGCAGACAACTTCACTCTATCGAAGTCAGCTGTTTTTCTACTGGAAATACTGTTATTCCTTAAGGTTTAAAAAGTGCTTAATCTAGGAGAAACAATGCCAATTTAACTAACAAGAAAACGCTTTCTATTAAACAAAATAATGTTATAAAAAACGTAAATGTACCTGCACATCAACTGTTGTTGTGACCACAATTACTGCATTTAAAAAGTTAAACATGGCCAAGGCGCAGGCGTCAAATTTCTTGTAAACATTGCCCGCCCAACCCAAAATGCAACAAAAAGCGCCAATGAACGCAAAATCGGCACAAGGACATGCCAACACAAGCTAGGAAAAATCAATAACAACACAGCCGCAAAGCGACAGAGGCCGGAAGTGCACTTTTTTTTTGCATTACTGCGCGTTAAGTAACTCCGGGAAGGCAGTAAAAAATTGAATTTCAGCAGGAAAGTGATGTAGGTTTCTCGGCTAAAGCCCTTTGAAAAAAAGAAAAAACCTTAAAATGGTGGGTAAAGGATCCAGCGGTCTGGGCGTAGACACAAACACGGGTAGCAAGGAACGCCCAGTTTTTATTCCGCCCCGGAAACGTCAACAAACCAAATCAGAAGCCAAGAAGCAGAATTATGTGGACCATATTGTCAGTGTGCAGGTTGGTAAAAACATTGTAATATAAATATAAACAGTTTTCACCTTTCTATTTACTGTTGTGCAGCAAAACCGACCCAAGTTGTCGCCCTCGAATCCGGGCCTCGAGGAGGAGCTCCGCAAGTCAAAGCTCATTATTAAGAACAAACAGCCGCTGCCGCAACTTCCGGGGGAATTGGGCGTTCCCAGCACCCAGGACACCTTGGCCAGCACTCACTCGGCCAGCTCCACACAGCACAGCCAGAAGTCGGCCCGGTCGGCCGGTAATCTCAACGAGCTCCAGAACTTTGAGTCTATCTCACAAGGCACCAAGTCCACATCGCAGAGGCATGAGAGTAGCACCGTAACGCCGAGCAGCTGCTGCTACTCGGAGAGCAGCCTGGACGCCAAGTTGAGCAAGTCACAGGATTGCCTGAGCAACCGCTCTTCCTCCAAGAAGCGGGTAAACATTCGAACTTCGGATCTGCCTGGGCAGGGACGCAATCAGCGCTCATCGCCGGAGATCGCCAACTACGAGGACCTAGAGTCTGGGGAAACGAGTGTGCTGAACACCTACGACCAGAGCCTGGAGCGAGGCTACCAAGCGCGAAAGGATGGCGGCGGCAACTACCTGACCATGACGGGCACCATTAAGCGGGGCCGCAAGAAGGGTCAGTCCGTGGATCTACAGATCAACATAAGCCGCGAGGAGCTGGAGCAGCTGAATGCCCATGCCATGGCCAGCGATTCACAGAAGGGCGGCAGCTTGTGCTGCACCTGCAGCTGTGGCACCGGACTCCACATCCTGCTCATTTCGCTGCTGTGCCTGCCCTTCGTGACGGTCATCTCGGCGGTGTATTCCTTTTACATCGGCACCCTCACCTGGTACAACATGTTCAACTACTACTGCGAGGAGCGGACCTATCTCCACAAGATCCTGGTAACGCCGCTCCTGTTCGTGGCCTATCCACTGGCCATTGTGCTGTGCACCTTCGGGCTGGGCATCTACTCGGGAGTGCGCCAACTGAGTCTGCAGTACAGCAGCTGGGTGAACGACATTACGGACATCGAGAAGGGCTTCTACGGCTGGCTGTGTGGCTTCCTGCACATGCCCGACTGTAGTCCCTATGAGGTGGTGATCCTTACTGACATATGTGTGGCGCCACAGGATCCGCAGAGGTTGCACATTAACAAGCCACGTCAGGAGCTTTCAATGTAGGATGTGTATGGCCTCAGTTTCGTTAGCGGCCCCGGATTTTCGACCATAAGTGTGATATAAAAACGTAATTGCATTTGCAATATGCAATGCTGGCAGGAGTAAGATCGACACAATAAGTTTCCTTTGGCCAAATTTGTTCCTTTTACATTGACATAATCGTATGTCTGCAATTGCAGCTTTAGAGAACGGAAATATACTATATATATCGAAGCCACAAACATAATCCAAACCCTAGAGAGACTAGCATTTAAGTTGACAGAAATCTAACACTCGCACAGCGCCTAAAATAGAGAATATAAAATTCGGCTAACCGAATCTAATATAACCTTGCAAATGTCATGGAATTATCTGTCAATAAGCAGTAAAAAATTAATTGCTCAAAAGTCACAGATTTGATAGAAAAGTGTAATTAAATTTTTTGTCTGAAAGCCACATTACTACATCCTCTTAATAATCTAATAGGAATTAATTTTCCAAATCTCTAAATAATTTATTCAGTAGTCCCATAAATTGTTGTTGACATTGCTATCTTTGATTTAACAAAGATATTTCGATCCATTTGCAAGGTTTATATATAAACACAGTTAACTGTTGTAGTTGGGCATTAGCCTGCCATTTGAAACTCTGCTTTCTTTTTGATCTTAAAGCCAAATTTAATAAATAAGAAACGTAAATATCGAACTCAAATCGCATTTACAGATTTTGCATTTATCTTCAGAGTGAACTAAACCAAAAGAGCAGCCAACATAAATGCGCAGTTGTCGTGATGGAAAATTTTTCTTAGTTTTAAGCAAACATTTTTTATTTCTACGTCAATAATAAATAAATGAAGAAAAAACAGCAGCAAAGCCACACATCTATATACAAACATACTTATATAAGCAAACGTTTTTAAAATAGAAATTCTATATGTTAAGAAAATTAAGAACCCGAATATCAAACTCTTATTGAAATGAATATATTAGCCGGAGAAATAAAGCCAATAAAACTATATATCAAACACAAACAAACCTGTTATTCTTATTGCGTTCTTATAATCGATCTATTACTTGTTCTTTTATTTGCATAAATATTTGTTTATATTTTTCAATTAACCCCAAGCGGCGTCAAACTCGTAAATCAAGCGATAACGTAGTAGATATGTACACATGTGTACACTGCAATTCAGTTAAAGTATGGAAAGAAATTTAAATAATTTTTTAATAATGAAATTTCATTGTAAATCACCTTTAAACTACAGAAGAAACCCCTAATATTAAACCACAATTTTTATAATATATTATTATTATTATTATATATAATATTATATATAAAAATTTGTATTTATAATAATAACATTTAAAAGTCTGAGTTCACGCAATATATGGGATTCCCAGGAAAAAGCTTAGTATTTTACGTAAATTTTTAAATTAATTTAGATACTAAATTTAGTAAATATTGCAGAAAAAATCATATTTTTGGTGATTTTGAAGTACATTTTTTATCACTATTTCTTGAAAAGATGTTTCTAAAATAACACAAATTTTATTTATTTACGGAAACTTTCCAGTGTATGTAAATAGAAAGAGAAAAAGACTTTCAAAGAGCGAGAGGCAAAGAGCTTTTTTACTTGACTCTTGTTTTTGCCGGCATAAACGCCTACTACAAATCTATATGTAAACAAGCATCTAGCAGTAAATAAAAACCAGCTGTTCGGGGGTTCTTTTAACACACAAGAGAGAGCAGCAACAAATTACAGGAGAGAGTGAATATAAAGAACAGGAAGGGGCTCGCCTCTCGCGATGAATACCATCATTAGGCACCCAAAACACAAATCTCTAGTTAATGATTTTCTGTAAAATTAAAATAACAAGTACGCATAATTTTGGCACTCTTCAGGAGTCTCGATTAACCAATTATAACTGTACTCAAAACACGAACATAGATTCGTATAGGAAAAATTTAAATATATACATACGGACACTACTATAATTACCAACTTGCCAGCGCAGCAATCAAACGATTCGGATACTGAACTCAGTTCAAAATCAGCTTTTATAGTGAACAGACGTGTGCTACTGCAAGGAATATTTAATTTATATTTAATACCGGGTAAACATGGCAACGGACAACCTAACAGCTGTGCTCCATGGCATCGAGGACCTGCGTCTGGTGAGTCCCCCAGAACCGGAAATACATTAGGAAACTGTTTGACAATCATAAATTAACTTCCTGCAGGAGCAACGTCCGATTCCGGAAATCGCCGACGATGGTAAGCTAATGTCTTTAAGGATAGAAATTTTTTATCGTCTCTTGTGCTATAATAAATATAAGTATAATAAAATAAACCCTTAAAATAATATAAAAAACAAAGACTAATAATAACTTATTTTATCAGGCAATTTAATTTACTAATAGCTTTCGCCATTAATATTATTTGATTACATTAATTTAACTAGTTATTTTGCTCTGATAGAGCCTGGCAACTGATTAAATTTGATTTTTTGAGTTAAATGGCAAAGCTTTGACAGAAAAAATGTACGGATTAAAGCCTTTATCGTATTAATAATTAAATATATCATATATTATATATTACATATATTTCTTCTACTAATAAAATAAAAGAAACCTTCAGTTAGAACCAAAATTATCCAATAAAGTTTAGGGAACTACTGAACCATACAAATATATTGATTTGAATCTTCAGAATAGTTTTTTTTTATGAAATGTAGAAAGTATCATTTTAAATTTTAAAAATCGTTGCCGTTTTTTGAAATCCTAATTTAATTTTTAATATAATTTAACAAAGAAACCTTCAAATGTAAACTAAACCAATGTTTTTAAAATGCTTAAATGCGTCGAATAATATTGCATTTGTTTTTTATATTACACAAATTATACTTAAATTGTAGGAAGTATTACAATGGAATTTTGTAATAATTTATTCAGGTTTTGTTCTGAGTGTATTTCAGATAACGCTCAATGAATATACATATCATAATCTATTGAATTAAGCTGTTAGATAGTAATACTTGCAGGTACATATTGCACATTTGTTTCAGAAATTCCATACGTTTCAATTTACATATATCCAATTTTCCAAAAAGCATGCAAGAAAATATAACACACTTAAGATTTTTTAAACGATTTTATATTCAAGAAATTTTCTAATTATAAATTGTTGTCCGATTTTTCTAGAGGTGCTGCTGGCCATGGACAGCGTGGGCATCTGTGGATCTGATGTGCACTACCTCGCCCATGGTCGCATTGGAGACTTTGTGCTGACCAAGCCAATGATCATTGGCCACGAGGCAGCTGGTGTTGTGGCCAAACTGGGCAAGAAGGTGACCCATCTGAAGGTGGGTGACCGTGTGGCCATCGAGCCGGGAGTGCCATGCCGCTACTGCGACCACTGCAAGGGTGGTCAGTACAATCTCTGCGCCGACATGGTCTTCTGTGCCACTCCACCTTATGATGGAAATCTGACAAGGTACTACAAGCATGCGGCGGACTTCTGCTTCAAGCTTCCCGATCACGTGTCCATGGAGGAGGGTGCGCTCTTGGAGCCACTTTCAGTGGGAGTGCACGCCTGCCGCCGCGCCGGAGTCGGCTTGGGCTCCAAGGTGCTCATTCTGGGTGCCGGACCTATTGGCCTGGTCACCCTACTGGTAAGAGAAGAGCCGTATTCTGTTAGCTGGGTTTTTATTGACCGAGTTTCTCCATTTAGGCCGCTCAGTCCATGGGAGCTTCGGAGATTCTGATCACTGACCTGGTGCAGCAGCGTCTGGATGTGGCCAAGGAGCTAGGAGCCACGCACACGTTGCTTTTACAGCGGGATCAGCCTGCCGAGGAGACCGTCAAGGTAGTTCATGAGACGATGAGCGGAGTTCCGGACAAAGCCATCGATTGCTGTGGAGCTGAGAGCAGCGCCAGACTGGCCATCTTTGTAAGAAACCTGAAGAAACCTGAGATCTAGCGACTTACTCATATTTTTCCAGGCCACACGATCCGGTGGAGTGGTGGTGGTTGTGGGCATGGGAGCTCCAGAGGTGAAGCTGCCACTGATCAATGCCTTGGCCCGTGAGATTGACATCCGAGGAGTTTTCCGTTACTGCAATGAGTGAGTGTTTAAACTGGACTCGAGACTCAAATGCTGATTATTTTATGTTCCCAGCTATTCCGCCGCCTTGGCCTTGGTGGCCTCCGGCAAGGTGAACGTGAAGCGTCTGGTGACGCACCACTTCGACATCACAGAGACGGCCGAGGCGTTCGAGACTTCGCGCCTCGGCAAAGGAGGGGCCATCAAGGTCATGATCCACGTCCAGCCGCGGGATGCCAACAATCCAATAAAATTCTAAATATATAAAATCTTATCTTTAAACCTAGCTGTGCGTAATTCGATTTTGATATTTTTCGGACAAACATGGTTTGACATTGGGGACAGTTCACCCATCAAAGTCATTAAACATATTATAAATAAGTCTCAACAATTATCAACTTAGTCTAATACAAATACTGAATGAAGTCCAAAGCCTCCACTGGTCCCCTTAGCTCGCCCTTGGCATCATAGTTCTTTAACTCTGGTTTTCTGTTACCAGCTATGTGGCGCAGGTATTGCCGGGTAGTCTCCATCAAAATATTCAGTCTGATGTCCCAGCCATCTCGACTTGGTGACGAGAAAATGGTGGAACTGTGGCAGTAGATGAGCTGTTGCCAATTGGCATTGAAGCCCACGCCGAGGTAATTGTTTGCCTTGTCCACAACCACAATGGGCAGATCCTCGCCGGCCAGCAGGCGGACCAGTTTTCGTAGCTTTCGTTCCTGAAAGGTCCAGTAGTAGCTGGCGGGATCGTACAGCATAACCAGCATGTCACCACTCCTCTGTTCACAAAGCTCAAAGTAGTTCCTTGACGATGAGTCCTGTTTGGTAGAAGGGCCCAAGATCACTGCCCGGAAGAGCTGATCATGCAGGAGTTGCTCGCAGAACTCCTTCAAGTACTTGTGGCTGACCAACTTGTGCATTTCGTAGACACGGCCCTGGGAGTCCTTGCCGTAGATCCGCGGTGGCAATCCTTTCCGATAGCTGCCAAAGTCCTCGGCATTTAGGTTCTCGTTGAATTCCCCTATGGTGGACATTTCTTGCAGACTGAATCGAATCCTTCCGGCGTACTCCTGAGCAAGCTGATCGAGCACCTTCAACCATGTGGGATTTGAATTGACAAGATCTTGGCCGTGTTTGGTGAGGAAATGGAAGGCTACCACTTGTGGTCCATCGAAGGTGAGCTTGTTATCCGGTGAGTCTTCGCCTTTAGCCTCATCTTTTTTCGGAGGTCGCCACAGCAGCCAGGGAACTGAGTTCTTATCCATAATATAGGTCATTTCCAGAGCCATTTCTCTTAGGAAACTAAAAAATTGCTCAACTATTTTTATTAACCGGTCAATTTCACAACACAAAATAAAAGCTTAAATGTTAAAGCTTTCGTTAACATTGTTTACGTTTGGGTTTCACCTGTTAGTTTAACAGCATTCGCCGCAATCTTTAAATACCTGTGAAGATAAATATGAATGAATGACTAATGTAATTTGAATTTCAATTAACAAAGACAATAGTTTATAGTAACTAATCAAACTATGTGTGATGTAGTCAAGTTTTATTAAAGTCCCTGAATGCTTAAATTTAATAAAAATAATTAAAGAACAAAACCATCCTTGTTCTGCTGAATCAACAGAAGGTAAATAATTATAAAAATATGGATTTCATGTATTATTGAAGCCATGTTCGGCTTTTTTCGGCTAAATTTCTACAAACTAAACATATATTTAAACTTAACTGATGAGCTAAGTGTGTTTTGTGCTGTGATAAGGCGCTGGCCAAGTCAATTGGTCTAAGATAAACAGAACCCCGTTTGCATAACCGAAAACTAATCAACAGTTAGCCTATGCCTTAATATTATTCATTTATATATAAATAAATATATATAAAAATAGAAAATACAGTGTAGATTCTGTCTGGTAGCACCCACTGGGCTGGGATGTAGGCACACATAATGGCCCGGCTTCGAGTGCGACCTAGAAGCGCACCTGCTTGAGCTTGTCGTAAATGCTGAAGTACAGGGCCGTCGTCATGCTTGACTTGAGGAGTGTGGGGGCCACGCCCTTGTACAAGCCCCTCACGCCCTCCTGCCGCACGGTGAGTTGCATGCAATCCCAGACTCCGCGGCACTGCAGCGTCTGGCCGAAGGTCTGACGGTTCGACTCGAAGCCCTGTATCTGCAGCCTTTTCTTGATCAAATCGAAGGGGTACACTATCGTCTTGGACAGCATGCCCGAGGAGGCACCCAGTCCCAGCAGCGTCCATGTGGGCAGTTGACTGCGGTCACCCACCTCCATGAAAGCGCACGCCCAGTCGCTGAACAGGCGGTAGGCCATAAAATTGGTTCCCATCAGCGGCGTGATCTGCAGCAGGGCGGAGGACAGGCCGCGGTACATGCCACGCGGTCCCTCCTGTCGCACAATCGCTGACACAGCCCGCGTTGCGTTCCGGTATCCTTTACTCTTGTCTTGGGCGATCAGTCGGGTGCGAATCACGTCCAAAGGAGTGGAAATGATCACCGCCGCTCCACCGGCAGCAGCGCCGCATAAAAAGTTGGACAAATGTTGATGATCGGCCAGGTGCTTCGTCTGCTTAGCCAACAAGCTTAACTGTTCGTAAGTCCAAAACTGGCAGATACCGTACATGATGCTCAGCACCTGGGCGGGATTGTGACCTTTCCAGAAGGCCAGCAGTCCCTCCTCACGGTAGATTGTCTTCACCGCCTGTCCAATTGATGTGTATTTAGAGGTCAGGGCTCCTCCTGCTCCGGCTGCCTCCTTGCCACGGAACTTGCCCAGCGGCTCCACTTGCAACTGAAAGCGGATCTTGAGCACGTCCAGCGGCTGGCAGGTGGAACGTGTGATGGCAGCCGATAGACCGCCGGCCAACATTTGGTGAAGCTGCTCCCGGGTGCTGTGCTTGCGTCGCGGAACGGGAGTAGTGGCGGTGGTACTGCTGGTGGTAGCAGTGGCTTTGCTGCTAGAGCCTGTGGTTGCCGCCATGTCTGTGTCGGAACTGCTTTGGTTTTGCTTTCGGTGTGCGTATATTTGCTCGTTCGGATTTCACTTTTATTGCTGCGACTGCCAACTCTTTAATGGCATTTCTGTAAAAATTAAGAAAACCAAACAGGCAACGTTATTACAGTCAAAATTCAATAGTTTAAACCACTAACTGACATTTTTTAAGCTTGAACATGCTTATTGAATGTAAGTAAAAGAGGTACTCCGTATTTGAGTTTGTTTATCAACAGAATTAACATCTATTTTAAATTTTCATAAATAATGTAGGGCCATTATTTAGGATTTCTTTCAATTTAAGGAAGTTCTTGTAAATCACTAACTTAAAATTGATTTACAATAAGGCTAAAAACTGTATTCAAACAAAGTAAGTCTAATAATTACAATAATCTTGATTTATGTGGATTTTCTTCATTGACGAAATTGTGAAACTAAAAATTAGGTACTATGTGTAAGTCGAAAAATATGAATTTCTGTATTAAATTCAAGGTAAAATTGGAAAAGAAATTAAAATGTTAGTATAACGTTAAAGAAAAAATAGTTAACTAATAATTTAAAGCAAATGTCAAGCGATTTCCAATTACTTTCAATATCTTTTAGTTTGAAATGATTTCGAAACGTTTGGCTTCTATGCAAATTTTGTGGGAGCTGTAAAAAAGTTTAGCATTTAGAGGCTTGACTGTAGCTTTCATTCAAGGTGTTTTAGAGGTGCGGCCGGGCGCAAACTCCGAATTGTTTACGCATTCATCATCTTGATGGCCAAATTGATGTGTAAAAAATGCGTAGACAACGGGCAAAGGAGAAGATGGTGGAGCTAGTGGTAGAGTGCAATGAGGAGACCAGACTTACGAGTGTCATGCTCGACGGAGCGTGGGGATGTCGCCGCGATTACTTCACTATTATCTCTGCTTCGCCCAAGTGAGCGCAAATTCGCCAAGATCCCGAAATAGATTCCAGGTTCAGAGCCAGGCCATTCATTGATTGACTTACTGACAAAAAAGTCTGGGGGGTATTCGGGTTTATCAGCGATTTCACTTTTTTCCCGCTGCCAATGGCCGCTTTTGTTGTCCGATGCTCCGTTGTTCGCCGACCGTTGTCCACTTCCAGTTCGAATTCCACTTCCAATTCCAATTTCGATGCTGTGGGGCAGATAAAAGAGACAAAGCCGTCCATGACATATACTTGAGATAATGATCGGAGCAATCCCTGCGGCGGGAACGTGCCGGAGCGGGAACTCACCTGGAGCAAATGCGTCCGTACGCGGGCAGAGTGCAGCAGTTACTGCGGCGGCGACGCTTCTTCATTACAGGCAGAGGCCGCGGATTGCGTCAAAACTTTCTTTTCGCCAGGCATCCGCTGTCTCTGTTCCGCCAACCGTGTCTGCGTATTTGGCTTGTAATAGTAGTTGGTGAGATGCCGTTGCAGTTATGTTGGCCACATCCACTTCCACAAACTGGTTTTCCCGCAGCGATCGTTCCACAGCAGCAACAGCAACAACAACAAAACAAACAAAAATTACGTCGCCAAGTGCACGCGGCCAGCTGTTCGAGCCGCTGGAGGTGAGCTTTCAAACAAGCGATGCCCGCTATCGACTATCGGTATCAGTTATCGATAATAGCTATAAAAAAGCTATATGTCGATTGAGCCATACATAGGAGCTAAAAGTAAATTTAAATTAAATAAATTAAAATTTTATAATTCTAAATTTGTTAAATTGCGCTATATTTCTCAAGATTTACAAGGTAGTTAAATAACTCAAATGGTGGGATTTCATTTAGATATGTATCAAAATTCGCTTAAAAAATGATTTAGAGTTGTAGTCGTTCCTTTTAGTGCATGAATATTTTAGTTTGGTACAATGCTTGGATTGAAACACTATTGAACAAAATGTCTTTAATATTTTATTTAATAATAAAACTCTAAATATATAATAATAATAATAATAGAAAAAATGGATATTTGAAAGCCCAGGATCCACATCACTCAAGTATGCCTAGGATATATTTAAATAATATGTAAATATGTTAAAATACAAATTTAGAAAAATATTCAGTTGTGACTGACCTTTTACATTGATTTTAGCTTTTAAATATGCAGGCAGCTGTCACGAGCACAGCGTTGCCACTAGGGCGCGCGTTTAATATTATTTAAACTGCGGCTTGAAGTGTGGAACATAAAATGCTATATTAGTGGGTTCTATTTCCAGCCAATGCCGCCCGTGGGAGCTCCAGCTGGAGCACTGGGAGTAGGCTTATAATCAGGTGGAATGCTAAAGCCAAGAACCTCGAAATTGCCGCTTGGTGCACCAGCAGCTGCAGGTGCGGCAGGTGGGTTTGTCGGATATGGTGGAGATTTGTGTACCGCCTGCGGGACTGGATTCGGCGAAAAGTGGACAGGTGGAGCAGGTGGTGTATCCTGCGTCTTGGGATACAGACTGGGCGCTGTGGCTCCTCCATTGGCTCCATTAGTATCAGATCCAGGCTTATTGTCAAATGGATACACGGGATACCGAGGCTTAAATGTATTGGACTCGAATGGCTCGTCACTAATGTCTTCTTGGAAGAGAGGAGAACCTGGAGATTGGATACAGGTTTATGAAGATTGATCTTTCATCACATCATCATATGTAACTACTCTCACCTGGATAAGAGTTACCATTGCATTGGGATTTGTCCGTCTGGCCGGGTCCCTTGTCTCCGGCGCTACCCAACAGTGGTACGGTTCCAATGGTTAGCGGAAAATCCACCACCAGATCTCCTCCGCCGTGTAGCTTGAAGGTCTTGGCAATAAAGCGGAGCGTGTAGCTAACTCTGATAGGGTCCTTTTCACTTTGAGTAGTGGGTGTTGTCGGTGGCACCACCAGGAATTCATTAAACTGCGCCTTGTTGTGTTTCAGCACCTCACCACAGTGTTTGTCCGCCACCCTTGTCTCTGTGACCTTGAGCTGCTCCTTTACTCCCGAGGAGTTGGCACGATATGAAACATTTTTGAGCAGGCGCACCTTCACATCCATACATTGCACATCCGACTGGTTGTCCAGCACCAAATGGAAGTGGATCTTCTGACCGGGTACATAGCCTGAATACGTGGTACTCACATCCATGACCATTGGTTTGTTGGCACCAAAGATCGAGCCCCACCAAAAGGTCTTGGACTCCAGACGTTTCAAAGGTTCCTGTTTGAGAGATAATCCAATTTAATATCGTTTTTAAATTAATGAATTTATTTACTTACCGCGTACTCATGGCGCCTGTTCAGATCATGGGGCAGGATCACAGAGAAGCACTGTTTGAAGGTGTTGTTGTAGCGGACGGAACGATCTATGGTCATGGTGACCTCATGCTTAATCTGTCCGTGGGCACCGTTGAAGGAGGTGGGTGCATCGGGCGGAATGGTGGCCCGAAAGGGAAATACATACTTGCCCGTGGGCAGCTCCAGCTGAGATCCACCATTCTGGCCGTAAACATACTGATCTGTGCTGTAGTAGACTTTCGTGGTGGTGTGGGTCACCAGGGTCCTAGTGGTCTTCCCATCCTCGCCTACCCGCTCTTCGCTCTCCTGCCAGCGTGTCTCTCCATACCCGTTTATGGTTATAAAGATCGCTGCAATTGAGTTAATTTCTCTGTACTGAGGGTATGTAATTCAATTATGCATTTAGTTTAATTGTATTTGACCTTAGACTTATTGTACGGCTCTCAGTGGTATTGTATTAGAAAATTGATTCGCTATAGCGACACAAAAAGTATTCGTTAATCCACAAACAATAATACATAGAATTAAATAAGATTTAAACCAAACGAACAAAAGCTTATAATAATTTTAGTATTCGAATGGTTGATACACTTGAAAAGATGAAAGGTACTTAATATACTATCTTGTTTTTAAACGAATTTTTTAACATATTAATTGGTTATCTAAATTTTATTAATTTTACTATATTATTAAGGGACCAATGTAATCTAAATCCTAGAAGATTTCTAAAACTTCCGGATTTAAAAGATATTTGTGGTATGTTAAAAAACTAATCTGGCAAACATAAATCAAATTTGATTACAATTTCTAAAAACCAAAGTCAACTACAATAACCTTCTTTCTGTTTCGTCTAAATGAAACCTTAGATATGAGTGACTGACCAATAAACAGAATCAAATGTCTAATAATATAAACAGCAGCCGCAATTTCAAAATAAAACTAGTTTTTTAGACGCTATCTGATATCCGAAGCCAGCCAAGCGGGCACATGTGTGTTGTATATAAAGCAGACATAAACATATGTAAAACATATATATACATATCTGACAGACAGACAGATCGACCGGCAACTATAACAAAAGCTAGGCACAACAATACACCGACAATATTAATGACGACGCGCAGCTACGCAACGAAAGTGGATGGGAACTATGTGGTTCGAGAGGGAAGGGAGACCATGACGTCATGGTCATGGAATCATTAGAATACTGCGTCTTCCGCATGGCCACTTACATCGAATGGTTTTCGGACGCTCTGTAACCAGTTCCGCGGTACCGGAGATGACCTGACCCGACTGGTACACCCCCAGGGGTTGTTGTCAAAGACGAAGTTCACTTTGCTGCTCATCTCAAGGATATGTTTCTCCTTTGTTTATTTGTTTTATTGATAGTGGCAGGCCGTGCCGGTCGCTTCGGTTTGAATGGGATGGGTTGGGTAAGTATCCAGTCGGTGGCGGCTCCAGCTCGCGAGCACCGAACGCGAGCAGCTTCGACTTAATACTGAATTCCTGAATGCCAGCTGCGAACTTGAATAGCGATTTGGCGTGCGTGAGAATATTTGAAGTGATTGAAGTGGTGACAGAAAGGGGAAGCACACGGAACATGAAATGGAGTTTGTATACCGGAAAGGTGTCAGGAATCTCTGCGGATTGGAAAAACTCTTTCAGAGTACAGCTAGTACAATTCAATCAAGGAATTAAAAAACTTATTTTTAAGAAAATGAAAGTTTATTAAATTTTAAATATATTTAATAGGTGTATTAATAATTCAATAGGAAAATAGCGAGGGATGTCGAAGGTTACGATCGTCACGAAATGCATCTTAATATTTGAAAGAAGACAAAGTATAATAAAAGTTATATTTGATATATAAACAGCTTTCAAGATTTAATCTAATTTAAGAACGTATATGTTAAAGTTTACAATTTGTCCAAAGTTTATAATAATGCAATTGAATAATGTCTACATTGAACAATAAAATTTAAAAATAACCGCTTTTTCACCACCCGCCAGGTGGCAACGCCGCGCAACAGCTGATTATGCTATCGGTCCACAGTTCTCTCGGTTATCGAAAGCAAGCAAAAGTGGGAGAGCGCGAGCTCCAACTACAACAAAAGCATAACGCGCTTGGATCTCGTAAACTTATAAGAAATTTAATTATTCAACCCGACAGTGCCGCCCGCAGTAATCGAATTAAATTAATCAAGGCGTGAGACAAATCAGTTGGAGGCCACAGGCCGTTGCAGTTAATAAATAGACCTATTGAAGAAGAAGTGGCAAAAGCAAAGCAAAAGGCACGGCAAAAAGCTCCCACTTCTCGCCGCGCTGTGTGTGTGTAGTAAATTGCCGTGGTATGGTTACGTGTGTGCGTGTTTCCGTGTGATGGTTCTACTATTCTGCATATAGTCCAAGGTGGAGCGCGGGCGGCGAGCGGGAACTGGTGCAGTGCATCGTTTCTATGTTGCGGCATTTTGATGACGGAATTATTTTTGGATAATTGTTTGATGCGAGCGCCATTAGTGCTAAAAGCAGAAGCAGAATGGAGAGCGAGCGGTTGCGAATCACTCTGGACAGCCCCGAGCGTGTCTATTTCGCCGGCGACATAATTCGCGGCGAGATATGGATGAACGTAAACAAGCGCACAAAGATACGCGGTAAGTTTCTGCTTTTAAGCGTACACATCTAGGTACATGATTTCCCCGAAGCCCGGCTTGCATCATCCGTGACTCAGGCCTCTGCTTGGTTAGCATTTTGTCCATTGTTCGCTCGACGGCCAGCTGGACTTTCGTTGCGTTCCCATTCGCATAAACAAAGAGCTGTGTTAGTTCACCAAGAGCACAGCGGCCATTTTATGGGACCACAATGCCGAGATTCTTTCTCGCAAATTCCTTCAGTTGCCTTTTGCACTCGCCTTTCATTCATCGATAAGCATTCAATTGCCGCACTCGAAACAATTGTAATTACAACTGCATTTGCCTTCGTTTCTCTCTTTCTCTTTCTCGAGCGCTGGCATTTGTTTCAGGAAATGCCAAACGCACTTTACTGGTGCGAGCGAGTGAGAGAAAGGGGCTGTTCTACTCCCCCGTTGCCCGATGGAGTGCCGAAAATGCCGTAATATTGGCCCAAGTCAAAAGTCAGGTCTGAGAGAGGTGAGAAAGCGCTCTCAGCACAGTGGGGGCCACGAAAGAGGCGTGCACATCTTGTCACTCAACCGAAACTGAAAAGTAGGTGAAACGGAAATTTTTAGAGGCCTACTAAAGTTGACTTCCTGTCGGTTTTAATGAATTTAAACTGACACATAAATATGAAATCACTACACATCGGCAGCAATTTGATTTTTCTAAACCATAATAATATCCCAAGTTAAATAATAAAATACAAATCATTACCTGTAATGAGTAATTTGATTTTTCTAAACTTATGGTATCAGTCATAATATCTTGAAGTTAAATAATCAAGTACAAGTCTTAACCTGTCCCAATTATTAGACATCTACTGTATTCCAAACGCCTCTCTGTTGTGATTTCGTAGTGTACAGGTGTGCGTGAGAGCTGGCCAGCAGCTGTTCGTGTGTATGTTTAAAAGAGAGTGAGAGAGAGAGAGAGAGAGCGCCCCACTATCCCGCATCTTTCGGGTTCTTATGCGCTACGCGACAAAGTAAAGGGTATTTTAGAACACATCATTAGGTGAAGCCTTAAATGTTCGCTCCACTCCACGCATCGAGCCAAGTGTTTGCTGCCTAAAAATAGTCCGTAAACTGCCCCAAAGTCAAAGTCGGCCGTTACGTTATCAGCGCACAATAAACGCGATTTATTATCAGAGCACAGACTACGAGTACAAAAATTGTTTATACAAAATGGGGAGCAGCACAGTTATTCGATGAGGGGGAATGCTTTGTGAAAACAAGGAATACATGACATGACGACAGCTGTCCCATCGTATGGCTTCGCAATTACATTAATTATACGCACCCTCTCCTTCGATTTTCCAACCGCCCCACAAACATACATATAGCATACGTACAAGTTAATATATCTAAATATGTTATGCACTTAATTGAACACAGCAATTGATCATTATTTTGTGCACATAGGGTGAAATTGCAGGCGGTCCCGCCCATTTACTTGTTAACTTTGTCCCTGAGGAAGCGCTCCACACGAGGCCAGATTTCCTTGGTCTTGCGCCCCGAAAAGTTCGTAACCAGACCGTGCTGCTCGTACCAGGCTATTACTGGACTCATCAGTTCATCGTAGAGTTTAAGCCGCTTGGCTACTACCTCCGGTTTGTCGTCCTCTCGTTGGGTCAGCGGCTCGCCCGTAACATCGTCTTTTCCCGGCACCTTGGGGTCGTGGAAGCCTATATTGTATACCCTTCCGGAGGGGGCGTGAATCCAGCGGTCCTTCACTCGGTCGATGATCACATCATGGGGAACGTTGAGCGTGATCACGGCATCGATCTGCTCGCGGGCAGCCAGCGCCTCCGCCTGGGCGGTATTGCGAGGGAATCCATCCAGGATGTATGACTTGTTGCCCACCTCTGTGATACGTCCCAGCATCGTCTTTGTCACAATATCATCTGGAACCAGCTGGCCGGCAGCAATGTACTGTTGAGCTCGTTTGCCCAAATCGGTGTTCTTTAGGATATTCTGGCGCAGAATGTCACCCGTAGAGATGTGGAGGAAGCCAAATGTCTTGACAATTAGCTCCGAAATGGTTCCCTTCCCTGAGCCAGGGGCGCCGATTATCACAGTTCGGAAGATTTTCGTATACATGTTTAAGCTGTACTATTGTATTTAATCTGCAAAATAGAAATGAGAGAAAATTGGTGGTCAAAAAATGCTAAAGTTACGAAGAGGTTAATAACTGATATAGTGCCGGTAAAACCAAATATAGGGCCAAATTAAATTATGTTGTAGACCATTTGCGACAATCTTTACGGGCTAAGATAAGATTATCAAGAATATTAAAATGTTTGGTATAGAATTGTAACCTTCAGTTTTCCCTGTGTTTCTCTTGATAAAGCAAATACATTTAATCAGCAGCACTCTCCTTTTGATTAAACTCCACTAAAATAAGAATAACTGTATTGTTGAACTGTTGATAATTTATTTTCCTTTAATCAAGTATCATACGTAAAGAGTTTTAGTAACTGTTAATTCAATGTACTTTATGCATTTTATGACCTGATTAGAAAGCTGAAACCATTCAATAGAATATATCTGACCATATACTATCGGTATCTGTAATAAAAGCTATAACAGAAAAGCACTTGTTCAACTTGTTGTCTCACTTATTTGCGATAATTGCGCGAGGTACCGTAAATCAGACAAAAGCCATTCGCCTTATGCGTGTCCATATGCCGCATGGCAACAAGTGTACCGCACTCGCCTGAGAGCGAAAACTACAACAAAAACGAAAACAGAAGCAAGCGTGGCTTTTCGGTTTTTATGTTCTTTGTCTTCTTATGACCAGATTGTTGTTGTCGCGCTTATCGTCCAAAGTCCACACGGAAAATTATGGAATATGTACATAGGTTCAATGTCGCGCGTGTGCTTTTCTTCCCGTTTATTCTGCACATTATGCACTTTCATTTCACTTGGCCAATGCACTTTTTAATGCTTGTTTTGTTATGTAAATTAGCAGCTCGTAAAATCACACTCTCACACTTACACGGCACTTGGGTGTTGCGGTAATTTCGGGTGTTTGCCAGACTTGTTCTTGTCCTCAGTATCGCGGTATCAATTCTCGCCCGCGTACTAATTGTGCGATAACTGGTCGTCGACGTTAATATTCTAATTCCGTGCCAGCGCCACTTCCCCGCAGCTGATACTTTTTCTTGTTTGTGGCTCCACTGCTGCCGGTTGGCGAATTTCGAATGAAACAGGCATCGTATCAGCGTGTGTGTTTGCCCTGCCTCTGGTTGTTTAGCTTCCAGGCGGCTTCTTCTCCCTCTCACTCTCTCCCACGAGTTCCAATCTGACAGCCGGTTGCTCGTGTAGTTCGGCTTGGCTCTCTCGCTCTTCAGCCCCCAACTGCATTGTCGTGTTTCGGGGTTGGGGGATAGACCTGCTATCTCTATCCCACATTCTCGTTTGCAGGTCTCTCCGCTCTTCGGTGCGCTCTCTTCTCTCTTACCGGGCGCATTTCATATGAATGAATGCAGTTTGGACTTAGATTTTAAATATTTTTCCAATGTCAAAAAAGCAGAAAATCTGAAAAATATAATTAATGTAGTTTAAATAGATGTAGTAGGTCTTGCATACTTACCTATTTATCAATAATTAACGACAAAAAATTTCAGTGCGTTCATCAGAAATTTAATTGTTCAGAAATCGCTAAAAATTTAAAACATAACTCTCAAAAGTATTGAAGCATTGATCGGGCTTTGACTAAAATTATTTTGTAGACAAGAAAATAAACTCGGGAAGTCGAAGTTTATATAAACCCTTGTCGTTTGGAATTGAATTAATAACAACTAAGTAAAATACTAATAATTAATAACTATGTAATATTATCTTTCTTTGAATCTATATTTATTGACAGTTGTTGTTTAAAAATTCATAAGTAAGCCGAAAAAAGAATTTAATTTAAATCGAAAGTTTTCCTAAGCAATTTATAAGTTTGTTTTGAGTGGTTTTTCCTGAATCTATAAAACTAAACTTTTTCGTTAATAATTAGTGTTTTGTTTTTAACTTACCCATTATGTAAACTGAAAATATATTCACAAGAACCGAAACAGCACATAACGAAATAATTAACTCCTGAAAACAACTATAAAATACACACTATTTGACTGGACTTTAAAGTGGGCAGGTCATGCCAAAGTCTCGCTTCGAAAGCTTCTTTATTGAGGAGTTGTTAGCATTACATTACTTATGCGGTGCGTCTTACAAATTTGAGTTTGAAAATCAAATTTTAGTTATATAAACTAAAAGGAATCTTAGCACTTGTAGTTCATGTGGGAGCTGAAGAGCCTACTCCTTGACCTCTTTGAAGGCTTCTATAATACCCTGCTTGCGCTCCTTTTGATGATCCCTGATCATCTCGTCCACCTGCTCAATTGTGGGTTCACCATCTGCTTCCGATTTCCTAACGTTCCTTTCACTGCCTTCGAACTTATCCGGTCTGATTTCCTCCTCCATGCCATTTGAGTCTTTGGTCCTGGAAGCACTGCGTTTATCATGATTATACCAAGAGTACTTGCCGCGAATCCAGCCGCGTCCGCGTCCCCTACCACGCGGCGTATGACGTGGTGGAAAGCGACGGGGACTGTAACTGCGGGATCGAGAACGGCTCCTAGAACGAGTGCGACGATAGCGAGAGGCTGGTGATGGTGTGCGACGGGGCACAAATGGCGACGGTGTGCGACGGTGTGGAGGTGTTCGCCTACGCTGGAAGGATCGCGAACGGGAGCGTCGATTGCGGCGGTTAATAAAGCGACCAGAACCTCTTACAAAACGATTGCCGTAGCGAGGCGAGCGGGAGCGACTGAGCGAACGCGAAAAGCTGCGACGCCTGCGCGATCGCGATCTGGTTCTTGAACGTGATCTGGAGATAGACCGCGAGTCACGGCGGTTGCTTCTGCGCCGCACACTCCTTCCGGGGCGACGAGGACTTCGACGCGGACTTCGTGAGCGGCTCCGACTCTGTGAGCTGCTGTTTCTTCCCCTTAATGGTTCCGCTGGCGTCGCCAGGCGCAGTAGTCCAAATTTATCCATTTGCAGCGGTCGCTTTTTGATCTGAAAGGAGAGTTTAGGAGCCGGCTCTGGGGGCTTCTTTTGATCCTGATATTTCAAACTCGGCGGTGCTCTACCGCCTGAGGAGGCGGCAGCCGCGTGTCGTGAAGTGCTAGGTCCTATGGAGTCGTAGTGAGAACGCTTTTCCTGAGTTGATAACTTTTTCATTGGTGGTGGAGCAGGCGGCGGTGAGTCATCGCCGCTATTCCGTTGATTTAAATATTCCTTGATCTTGGCTTTGAGTTCGGCCTCGCTGCTGGCGCTGTTCATTAGCCTAAAAGCAAAACAAATCAGGGATAGTAAATCCATATCGCATGGGCTTCATCCATATTTACGCCTCAAATGAAATGGGGACTTGTATGCTTTTGGTATTTTAGTATTTCCATTTCATGGGAGGTGTAAATACAGCTAAGGAGTAATTCTTAATTCCCGGTACATACTTGTCTTGTCTTTCAATGTGTGGGTTAGGAAAGAGATTGCAAAATATTTAAATTCTTGTGCTATATGCATCTTTTGCTGCAAAAACTCACCTGAAGGCCTCTTGAAAGTCAAGTTTCTTTAAAATCTCCATGGGATCGTCCGCAGACTTTGTCCTGGACCTTCTCTCCTTCTTATCCTTTTTCTTCTTGCCCTTTTTTTTTGCCTTCTTATGCTTGCTGGCCTCGCGCAACAGCTTTCTCACACTGGTCATGGTTTCATCCTCATCCAGTCTGAACTCGTTTGCCTTCTGGGCGGGTATGACTGCCAACTTCTCCCCTGGAGGCTGATTTGTGCTTTGGGCATAAAAAGGCTGACTTATGTTGGCCTTGACCTTACCAGCTAAAATAAGGAATAGGTTAGCAAAACAAAACACGATTGTGGATTGTGGATCAGTGCAGACAATTTGATCCAATTCTACAGCATTGATCCGACATATACTCACCCTGATCCTCGCTATCACTTTCACTGGCACTCGAGGAGCTGGACTCATCGGAGGAATGGCCGCCTGTCAGGTTGATCACCTCGGCGTTTAGTCTATGCTTACCGTCATCACTTTCACTGGGGACCAAAGCATTTGGCGGCCGCTGTAGGGCGTCCAAGGATTGACGTGCCTCTTCGTGTTGGGGCAAAAGGTTCAGGCAATCGCTATAGGCTTTAATCGCCTCAGGGATGCGGTTCTCTTCCTCGTAGCTGCGACCCAGAGCCACCAGTGTCTCTCCCATGTACTTGCGCGCATTCACGTGATACTTGTTTAAATTCAGCGCCTTCTCGAAGTCCTGCAGTCCCTTGAGAAAGCTGCCGCGGTTCGCGTAGAGAGCACCGCGGGCCACTAGACCCTCAACATTGCGCGGATCAATGTTCAGAGCCTTGTTTAGGCACTGAAAGGCCTCGACTTGTTGGCCATTTTTAAAGTGCTCAATGCCATCAGCCACGGAGCTGATCAACGGTCAATCAACGGAGGATTTTGATGTAAAGGGTGTGCAAATGATGGAATGGTATACACAGTTTCTACTGGCCACAATTTCAAGTGTGAAGATTTGACTTACCGGAAAGCCCATTGGGAGGCCTGCTTCTGACGAAGTTCCGCTGCGCTCTCTGCATCCGGGAAGCCAGATTTTAAATGGCTCATCAGAGATAAATTCTCATTTGGCTGAAGGCCATTCAGCTGGAAAAGCAAATCGTAGTTTGGATTGTGGAACTGCATCGCTTCGGTCAGTTTATCCTCGTAATGCACCGTCGATGGATGCTCCTTGTTGTGGATATTTCTGTATAAGAAAAATATTTTTGGATTAGGAGGGAGAGAATATAAATTTATATCTACAGATTTCGGCGCTATCATTACCGGTAGTATTTCGGCAGGTCGGCAATGTCGCAAAGACCCAACTTTAAATCAACCGACTTGTTGTACATGCCAATCATGTTCAGTGTGAGTCGCTCCGTATCCGCGGATATGCCACAGATCTCACATCGCAGTATATCATTCACAGCAAAGTTTCGCTGGTTACCTTGCTTGTCTAGGGGCAAGGGACCCCAATAGTCCTGCATTATGATGGCCTACAAAATTGCAAGAGTTCGTTATAGTATTTACAATTATTAACGATAGAATTTACTTTGATGGGTATATCAGCTAGGTAAGCGTGCATAGGCTCAGCAGTGCACAATGGCTTCACCATCAATCTGTTGCCGGGGGCCAGCTTCGTCACCATGGTATAGATGATGCCGCCCTGCTTCAAGGCACGCAAGCGATGCGCCCACGCCTTTCTTTTGTCCTTTGCCGAGTGGAAAAACTCAAATGGTGGCTGCTGCACCAGACTGAGGTTGGCTAAAGGGGAATTGTGCATAAAATTTTATTATTTGGTAATTTTTTCGTGACGCCTTGACATGCCGGCCCACCTTGCGTTAGAAACGAATCCTCCATAACGTTCGCCACCAGCAGACGATCGTACAGATCGGTGGCCTTGCGCGCCAGAAACTGATGCATCTTGAGGCGTTTGGCCCGCTCCTGGAAGGTGAAGTACTTCTGACGCTCCTGGTAGACGCTGAAGTTCACCTGGGTCAGTCCCATCGTTCGCAGGTCGTCCACGCCCCGCTCGTCATCCCAGATTTTTTGCAGAGGCTGTCCATGGTAGCCAAGCGCATGGCTAATGTAGTCGAAATTCATCTCGGCAACTCCACGTGCTCCTCCTCTCTATACCATTGAAAATTCCCTGTCAATGGGCGTCCTCCTTAAAGTGCAAAGTGGCGACAAGGGCAAAAATTTCTGCGAGGCAATTGCGACGCCGGTCTTTGCCAAATCGATATGCCGAAACGCGGTCGTTGAACACGATAAATGTTTTATAACTACAGAACTTTTTATTACTTTGTGCTGGTGCACGTATTAATATATTTTCTTTAAATTCCAAAAAATTATTTTAGTTTTTGGCAACTAAAAAAAACTTCAGGGGTGGAGTGTGACCAAATATATATTGCTAAAATTCGTCAGAGGAAATTAACCATGTTTACATTCACGCCATCTGGTCGCACTTAGCTTACCAGACGTAAGCAAACTACGTAAGTGAGCGTAACAAAAGGGATGCCACATGCGTAAATTACGGCAGTATGGCAGCCCTGCCATATTTGAATTTGAATTTCGCTGAAATTGCATACTATTTATTCTCGATCCAGATAGGCGTCCACGGAAGGGTAGATGAATATATTTTAAAAATTTACGTGAAGAATATTGATAAATTACTAATTTTTCTTCTTTATTTTTACTGTTTTACAGCTATCAAAGTGCAGGTGACCGGCAAGGGGAAATGCAAGTGGATGGAGATCTTGCGAAAGAATTCCAACAACAACGAGTACTCCCGCAGCCTCTTCTACACCAGCAAGGAAGTGTACGAGCATAGCGAGACAGCGCTACCGGACTTTGAGCCACGTGGCCTGGAACTGTCGCCCGGCGAGCATACCTTCATCTTCGAGGTAGCCCTGGGCCGTCAGCTCCCCTCTAGTTTTAAGGGTAGCTACGGTGGGATCAAGTACAAAATGCGCGTGCTTATCCAGCGACCATGGACATTTGACGAGCGGCACACCATACCCTTCACCGTGGTGAAGCATATGCCGTTGCAGCCGTCACACCGCAGCATTCCCAGTCCGCTGGAGAAGCAGGTAACCAAGACGATCAGCTTGTTCGGCACGCGACCGATTACTTTGCTGGCTCTTTTGCCTGAGGATTTCGCTGTGCGAGGAGAGCCGTTAAGGATATGCGCCACTGTGATCAACAACAGTACCACCGCCGTGGAAAAGCTGCGGTTTAGTGTCCTCCAGTACGTCACCTATTACAGCCATGTCCCCCTGCGGATCCAAAAGGTGGAGTGCATAGCAGTTGCGACTAAGGAAACCGGCTCGGTGCAGAAGAAGAGCGAGCGTAGCTTCGCCCACGAGCTGCTTATGCCGGAGGGAGCTCAGCCCACGGACGAGCAGATGAGTGGAGTCATTACCATTGTTTACGAGTTGCGTGTGGAGGCAGTACTGCGAGGTTTCTTCAAGAACTTGGTACTGAATCTTCCATTTAAGGTGTACTCGCAGGACTCCTCCAATCGACAGGGATCTCTGCGTCCGCCGCCGCCACCGCGACCAAACGATGGGCCACCTGGTCCGGATGTAAGCGCTGGGAATCCATTCGAGCCTCCTTTGCCTGTGTATCCGTCGCTGGACTCTTCCATTGGCTCGCCATCGCATTCTTCGCAATTCAGCGAGTGCAGTTCCATTAACTCCATAACGTCGGATTCCTCGGCGGCCACTCTAAGCCCCGCTGTGGGCGGTGGTGTTGGTGCTGGGGGCGTCGAACTGTCCTACACCTCGGGCTCGCAATCCTCACAGTTCGGCAGCCCCTCGGCCAGGGCCAGTTTGCATAGCTCCAATGTGCCCTACATGCCCTACTCGTCCAGCCCACTGATGGTGCAGTCGTATCCGCCGCCCCACCTGCCCGCATATCCGCTGCCGGAGTCGCCGCAGTACTCACTTCTCGCGATGACACCACCACCGAATGGACCCCCAGTCGCACCATCCGCGGGTGCTGGAGGCGGAATGGCGCCGGGTTATAGCCAGCTGCCATCCACCTCGGCATCGTCTTCATTTTTGCAAGCTCGTCAGCCGCCCGGAGCCCATGAGTTGCGTAAGTTACGAGGAATTTGTGAGATAATTCCTGGAACTCTATTTCATATTTATTTGCTTATCTTCCTTTTAGCGCCATCCTATGAAGAGCTCTTTGGCCTGGCAAATGCCCCGGCAGGAACTCCAAAGTAGAAATAATTGAATGTCCTGAGCCGCAGTCACCCAGTTACGTCCAAGCTTTGCCTAGACATAGAGCTTCAGGTTTACTTTATAGTGTTATAGAGTATCAACAAATATCGAATATTTATATCTAAGGCCAATGCCGAAAACGCTTCGATGCACAAACCATATGCAATGTGTGCACAAATCAATTTGTTTATTACCGACCTAGGCAGTATGTATTCTTTTTTTTTGATCCGGCTATAGTCCCAAATCGAATTGATTTAAGAATAGGCTTGAAATTCTTTTTATTTCTAAATTCGAACGCAAATACGATTCTAAAACAAAGGTAAAATGTTAATTTTTAGACATGGCAAATGTTTAATACACTTTCATATCATATCTGTATGAATAATTTGATCAGAATCTCCATCTAGCGAGGCATATGTGTCTAAATATTGCCAATTAATAATGCAAAATAATGCATTTCACCTATATATACTCAAAAATAACGTCTGTACGGAATGCAATTTAATGCAACTGAAATAACTTTACTGAAAACTTTATAAATTTGACAATAATTTAATTATTCTTCAATTTGAGCTTGAATAAATTGACCTTATAGCCGGAATCTCTAAAGGTCTGTTAGTTAGTTAGCTTGTTGGAGTCAAGTAGATAGAATCCCAGGCATAAACTATTGTCAAAACAGAGACAATATAATAATAAGATAAGTATCGTCCATACATTTACATATGTATGATTTTGCCAGTGTTGTTGAACAAACTATATCCCAAAAAGTCGAGTGCTTGAAAATCGGATAGTGTTACGCATCTTATTATTATATTCTCTGTATTAAAACCAACTAAGAAAGAAACATCTTATGAACTCACTATAACTATGTATACCTTAAATATCCACACCAATTCTAAATTAGTTTAAAGTTAATGTTCATGACAACACTTTTCTTATTGACTTATTTAATGCAAGGAAAGCCCTTTAAGGCAAACTTGCATAGTCCGTCTTCGGTTCAACTTTATTTATGGAATATATTTTAAATGCCGCCCCGTCACCAGACAGCCAAAAATATTCTGCATTTCTAAGAATCAAATCTTGCGAATTACTCAAAGACTCTCGAGTATTTATCGTCTAAGTCTCACTCACACCAAAACTCGAAACATACATACTTCAAACCCGCCTATTTATAAAACATTTATTTATTTTTTTGTGAATTTATACGTCCATGTCCAAAGGCTCTGATGAAACTGATTTACTGATACTAGATCTATCTCAATGAAATTCTTTACCAAAACAGGTCAAAAATTACTATTTATTTCTCTCACTTGATTTTACTTTTAGTATTTAAGTACTTAAGCACGAATCGAATGTCGAATGTGGTTCATCCTAGCAGGATGAATCATTGAATCTATAAGCTTTAGTGCCTCTGTATGATGAATGAACAACTCGAATGGTTATCGTTATTGAGATCAAATGTATCGATAAACAATTTTTATACACATATTACTGACATAAGTCATCGTTCGGAAGCAATGCATACTTTTAGTTTTAAGTGCACAAAATGCAAATTATGTACGATCAAAGGATTTCGTTTAAGGTGCTTTACAAATCACTATTTTTGGATACCAATTTTTTGTGTTTTCTTTGAATTTAGTGCTTGTAACTAAATGTCAAAATATAATTTATATAAAATGAAAAATCGAATAAAATGTTAATGAAAAAAATATTTATTTTATATTTGTGATGATTGAAATAAGGATAAGGAGGATCTTAAAAAGTTTCAAATAACAATATTCACAACAAGCACACTCTGAAAAGGGTAAGTTTAGTAGTTCATAAAACATATAATTTATAAACCAAACATCTTCAAGCTAAATTTTATAACAAAATTATAAACTAGTTTTAAATGTTACCAATTAGAGAAGCATTTTAATTGTTTTTTAATTGCTCTTGATAATTATGTCTCAAAAGATGCAGATTTCAAGAAGATTAATTAATTTCGAGTCTGTATATAAGTACTCCTGTACCTCCTCCATAATATATTGTTCTTGGCCATCCAAAAATCATTAAAGCAGGTCATGCTGGAACCCCCCTTAGCCAGGCAAAAAATCCCCAATTCCTAAGAAACCCTCACAAAAAAAAGTGAACACAAGCGCACTTCTTGTACGTGTTAAATTACAATTTCAAGTGCTTGAAGGAAAGTGCGTTGTTTGTCGCCCACGCAGCACCTACCTGTGTGTCTGCTGGACGGGGCTTCCCGCTGGCCAGGCACCGGACCAGGTGGGCCCGGTGAACGTGTGCGGCTTTTCTAACAAGTAACGGAAGTGTTAAGTCAGCTGTAATTGTTTTCTTTCATATTTTTTCCAGTTGCCGCCGCTGAGGGCGACAATTTAGTTTGGTTTGCTGGCCCTGTGGCCTGGGGGGAATCGCAGTCACCATAAATTATACTCCGCATAGCGATGGGGCTGCCGCCGGCCGCATGAAAGGCATACATAAACGAAATTGTTAAATAATAGCGACATTTAGCGGAAGTGTAGTGCCAGCCGCATTCTGCAAACTTCAGCACGCGCGACAAACGATCGCAGTTCCCCTGCTCTAAGCCTCCCTCCAATTCCCGAGTCTAGGTCCAAGTCTTTGGCCCTATTATTTCCGCGACTCATTCTCTCCCCAAAATCCATTTCGTCAAATTATAGAGGTGCTAGAAGCCAACTCAGCTCACCCCAGTTTCAGTGTACTTAAATGTCTTAATCGCTGTTGGGTTTAACTTCTATTTGACTTTCCAGTGGGGGATGGCAGGTTAATGATTTGTTGACCACGCTGAGTACGACGGGGGATGGCGGTGCAATTTGGGTCTTTGCTTTTCGGCATTGAACGTGCCACTAACTGATATTAAGTATGCGCCATGTGTGCCAGTGTCGTACCCATGAAACGGATACATGGATTGATAAACACGTATGTAGATGGAAGTAATTTAAGCTCGTGTTCATATATATATATTTGTATATTTGCTCAAGGAGAGAGAGTCACATGCTATGGGAGTGGTTAGACAAAGGACTCTGTTGGGAAAGTGCAAAGGTTTAACAGGACTTTGAAAAAAATTAAGCTAGAAATTAGTTGTAATATCTAAGTAAATATTTTATTTTATTATAATATCTTAAACTCTTTTTAAAATATAGGTTTAACTGATGTGCCTTCCTTTTATCCACTTCATTAAAAATCCTACCCAAGAGATGACAATTGGGGCAGATCTAGACTGTATATCGACAGGAATGTTTGGGATGAAGCAATATCCTATCGAAACTATTTTAAAAATGTATACATTGAAATCCAAAATATAACAAATATAACTTGTTTAATGGTAAACGGCGATATTATCGAATAAATATACGAAAAACGTTACCCTTTTTACCAATAAACGATTACTGAGAAAAGGTCTTGTATGATATATCACAAAACTAATATGGAAAATATCGAAAAATATCAAATTGAATATTAAAATATCAATATTAGTTAATAAATACCGTACAAATATTATTTATTTTTACTGTTAAATTTCATACGGTTTTAAACCTTCATTTTATATCGTTTTTTTGTCCATAAATGTATCACAGGTTTACAATATGGCATAAATATCGGATTTCACGTCAAATTATCGTTCTGTATCGATTTATCAATTATTTTCGGACATCCCTAGATTGGACCCTTAACTTTTCGTGCAACCGAAATAGATTGACTTACCAAAAACTTGAGACACACATATGGCAAAAGGCACACACTGATCGAGTTTGTATTAAAACCCAAGCACATGTGCTGGAAAATCTCAACTCTACCCCAAAACCCACACCTCAACCTATTCAGGAGCCCCAAAAAGAACCCAGAGACAGCTGCTTCCAACGAATGACTGGGAATTAGTTTATTCCTCTGCCCAAGCAGAGACAGAAGCAAAATAATGAAAACACGAGAAATCGAAGAAAGCCCCCCTCAAAAAAAGCGGATGTTAAAAAGGCTGGGCATATGGCCTAATGCCAAATAACCAAATCAAAACTAATCAAGCAGAAGTTACTGCAACAGCCGCACACAGCTAGCAGGTGGCATCCGACTTGGTTGTGGATGGCGGGATGTCCTGGCCACAGTGAAAATGGTTTTAAATTGCTGCCTGATTGTCTTTCAAGTTGGCCCACACTTGTGGCACAAGCAGCAACCTTCTCGACTGTGACTGAAATTTAATCAAGCGTTGAAATTTTTGCACGTACGTATTCCTATTCCTATTCCTGTTTCTATTTCTATTTCTATCATATTCAATGGCCGCTCCAATTTCTGGCTTTTGCCGCTGTCCGCAGGAAACTCTTGGTCACATGTGCGACTCTGTCCGTTGTGGTCACAGTGGGTTCCCGGCTCCTTCCACCTCCGCCTCCACGTCCTTCCCTCGGATGGATTCTCTCCACTTGTGTGAATGGTCCCGAAACGAGCTCTGCGTTCGTTCGTTCTGGGGCAACAGTTGCCAAAGACTGTGACCTTCTTCTGCTCCAGGACTCCATCCCATCCGCCACCCAACTCGCTTGTATTTTTGCTTTATTTTTGTGTTTTTTTTTTTGGTGGTAGTTGACTTGGCCGCTTCATTAAGCTTTTTTGTTGCCTGGCAGCAAGCTGTGACGGATTCGAGGAGGAACTGGAGTTTGTTTTTGTAGGGATTCCCTTGGAGGGCGGGACGGTGGTTGGTCATGCGATAATTAACGCGAAAGTTTGATTCACTGAAACTTAACCTTATTTTAGCATTTACACAAAGTTTTCAAAAATTGTATATATTTATATGTTCTATGAAGAAGAGTATTGAGCTTCGTTTTTAACTTTTTGTTGTCTCTTTTAGACATGATTAGATAACATTATATTATATAAACATTATATTTTAATATATTAGTAAAATATGTAAAGTGTCCAGAGCAGATGCTGATAAATTAGGGTTTAAAAAATAGTATGTTAATGTTAATGTTGTTAATATCTGAAGTAAAACCAAATATTTTGCTAAGTTTTTGATTTAGTTTTAGTTTTAAACATTATTGTTTTTTTTTTACAAAAGAAGAATATTGTAATGATACATGAATTTTTTTAGTTCTTTAAGAAGTAAACAAGTATCGATATCGGAGTGATATTAGACGAAAGTACCAATAGTAAATCATTTGCTTTAATTTTCGATATAAATATGTACAATAAATCGATATTTCTTATGATTAATCGGACCTATTTTCTACCATAAATAATCATTAAAAAATATAAACACTTTAAATATACTTGTTTTCAATAATTTCGATAATATCGGTATTTAAATGTTAAATGCTAATTTTTGTTTGGCAAGTTAAAGACAATTTATTTTTGATAACTCAAATCTTGGTATATTAAAGTTAATGATATTATCGATGTTTATATTGATATATAAAATTTACGATATACATATGAAAGTTTCTGATATTTTAAAATGTATGATATTTCGATATATTAAATTTCCTGGTATTTCGATACATTACAATCTATTTCATTTTCGATATAATATCGATCGTAATAATTTTGTAAATATTTCAAATTGGACTTTACACCTCAATATATATATCCCCAATATGCACCGCCCCTTTTTGAATTTAGAACAAAAAACCTCTATTATAATATTTGGAAATTACTTAAGCTCTGTCTATATGTTTATGGTTTTCATAAATATTTATTAGAATGGCTTTCGATTGCCACAATTCCATTTGTCAACAATCGAAGTAGCAACATCTTGACTTTGTTTTAATATCAATTTGCCACAGTTGTTGGCCTCCACGTGATGTTCATTTTTCTGTGCAATTTGATTGCAGGTCGCCACCACCTCCCAGTCCATCTAACAACCACGCCACGAATCTAACCACCCACAAATACCCCTTGTGGCACGCACACACACACACACACACACACACACACACACAATATGGTGCAATTTCTGTTAATTTCGTTATTGAGACACGTTCGCACGAACTGCGGGCGGGCACAGCTTGCGAAAGAATTCCCTCTGCGGTGTGGGAGATGAACTGCAGCTGTCCTGGATACAGGACACTGGACTCTGGACTCTGGACTCTGGACGGAGTGATAGAGAGGAATGTGCAGTGGAGTCAAGTTTAGTTGGACTATGGTTTGGTTCGGCTGATTGATGCCAGCAGGATTAGGGGGAAGCTGCTCGATTGGCAAAAGAAGCCACAGCAAAAGCTTGCGGTGTGTGCATATAATTTGATATGCCGGCACAGGAAAGAAATCCTTTTTGGAGTCCTCCATTGGACAGCCAGCCCGCAGCCTCTGCCAATTTTCAGTGGCCAGAGGCCACAACAAAGCGACCAACTCCATAGAAATTTATGAGCGTTTAAGCAGCCGTCGTGTTATTCAAGCAAATCAACTGGCTCTCTTTGGCAATTAATATTGCATTTCATAAACTATGTCCATTTGAGTGTAAAATAGTTGAGAAGCATTGGATAAACCTGTGGCTGGAATATTTTTAGGCATTTAATAAAGAGGAGAGAGAAGAGAGCTTAAATTTGAGAATGTTTAAAACAGGAAACCTATGTAAGTTTTTTTTTTTTTTTTTTTTTTTTTTTTTTT